CCAGTCAGTAGACTGTCTTGCTCGGCCTTGACCTCGGTCCGCGAGCAAGTCGATGAAATTATTGACTGCGGGGGCTTGCCTATTGAGCCTAAGACGACCGATACTCAGAAGAACCGTATTAGTCACCTGGAGCGCTGCGCTGTGAGTCCATTTCGCGTGGTACCCAGCATCAACAAAGCAGAGAAGAATATCTTTGAGGTGTTGTGGCGCACAGGGTTGCCTATCCGCGTTGTTGGTGTTGAAATGTCAGGGAAATGGACGCCATCCGACATAGCATCCAAGTACGGAAATTGTATTTTGAAGACTACCGAACAGAGAGAAAGTGGCGGCGAAAATATTCTTGAAGAGGGATCTTCGTACGTTCTTGGGACTGCTCTTGTCGCCCGGATACAACGGCAAGGGAAGAGTGAGTACTTATTTGGTTTCACCGTGAGCTTCCACTTACTGCAGAGATTAGGACATTCCTGCTGATAAAGAATTCAAGGAAGTCTTTGGCGAACTGGCAGGACACTTCGAGCTTTCTTTGCCGTTCCCTGAGTACACCTCGGTGGACGCTATCCAAAATGGTGCATCACACTGGCTGAGACTGCGCAAAGGTGCCGACCCTCCTCCGGGGTTGAGAAGTCCAGATCTCGGTACGCTAATTTTGAACGTGCTGATTGCCTGGCTGATCTCGTATGCAGGACCAAAGTTTTACATTGCACCTGGAGATCGCACAGAAGAAGGTACGACAAGGCTGCACAAGGACATGTGCGCTGCTGTCAACATCATGGCATACTGTGCTCCCGATCCACTTTCAAAAAAGATGGGTGCAATCTGGCATATATTTATGGCATTGGATTCGGAGACTGTCTCCATGTTTCTTCGTGAGAAGCACAGCTTGACTGAAAAAGATCCAGATCCGCTCCTTGGGCAGAGATCTTACCTCGACGAACAGAGTCTCAACGACCTCTGGACCAGACACAAAGTCCGGCCATTCAGAATTGTTCAAAAGGAGGGTGAAGCCATGTTTATCCCCCCCGGAGCTGCACATCAGGTGGGCACATTGTCAGGCTCAGATGATCCCGGAAAAGTGACTTCTTTCAGGTAGCGAACTGTGGACCCTGCGTGAAGATTGCGACAGATTTCTTTGGCGTGGAGGGGCTTGACAAGACATTCAAGTTTAATGCGGAATTGAGGCTAGAAGGTAGCTCAAGCTCGCTTCCCCCGAAGACAATGCTTTGGCACATGTGGCGCTCTTTGACAAGCCTGGTACCTGCAGATGGTGCTGACCCACTAGCAAGAACGAAGCGCAAGCGCGGAAAGTCAAAAGCGGATAGGCTACAGGCTAACAAGAAAGCCAAGATGCCCGAGCGACCTGTTCCGCCGAACAGTAGCTACTATTGCCCTCACGTGGTTTGTGAAGAGAAATGCAGCACGTTCTTGCTACAGTCTTTAAAAGATCACTTGTAAGTCTGTTACTTTCTGTCAGAGCTACGAATGCTAGCGATGTTGACAGGCGGCGCGGGCATTCCGTAATCATAACGGAGAGCGAACTTAGTGATGTCCTTCAAGGTACAGCTGACAACCAGGCTACAAAGCTTAAGGTATTTATGGAGAAGTGAGGACATTAGAGGTTTGACAATATACATATTGAATCAATCAATAACCGCTAGCAGTAAAAATATCTTAAGTGGGTCAAACGACTTGGCAGCTACGGTGGCCGCCGCTGGCGGGTGCGCTGTGTTGTAAGACTCGCCAATGGCAATTTGGCCGGGTGATAGGAATAGTCTGGGCTCGAATTCTCGTACGGCTGGGCGCTGTCAATGACGGACGACGATCCCGCCCTGTGACCAGACGCTGCAGGCTGTCTGGCGGCGCGGAAAGACATGTGCTCCAAGATAAGCTTGAGACGGCGCTGCGTCAGAGCATGCTTGCGGTACAACAACAGGCCCACTACGGAGTCCCGAGTGCAAGATTTCTTTTCATACATGCGCGCATTGCGTCAGTGCGCCATCGATAAAGTGTTATGCATGGGCCAACTAGCCAAATTCAGCAAGTCGCAGAAGAGCTGCTCCGACAGGCGGATCATGCCAGGAAGATTGGGGCTGAGAATGCAACGCGAGGCCGAGATGAGTGAACTGCAAGCTACTATGCCGCGAGCCGGAAGTTGTCAGGGACAAGGCCGATCGCTCCAAGCACCGCACATAGCTCACTGAAAGAGACGTCGGCTTCGTGCTGACAAGTCCAAGAACGGCTCAGGCTCGCCTCGTCGAAGAGACGCAGGGCATGGACGGTGCCGCCGCCGACGACACTGCCAGTATCGCCAGTGTTGCAGGCGACAATATCCCGCTGCTCCCGCACAAGTCGCAGAGGTTCGAGCCGATACCGCTGCCTGAGCCGGATGGCAGAGGGAGCACCCCGTTGAGCACCTTGGTCTCCATCTCGGCGAGGACTCTGCGACTCACGCCTGCGTTCTCAATATACCATGCCGCATTTTGTTGAAATACACCTCTGCTACCACTTCCATCTTACCACTACCACCTTCTACTAGCCTTCATCTTTACATGCCTTCAGGAGTTTGTAGATTGCCATGAGTGTGCTGCCACAGGTGGCCACAAAGTAAGAGGATCTATCACTTGTCGTTGATGTCCATTCATCTTACTTCAACCTCAGGCGTTCGAGACTTTTCAGAAATAGATACAATTCATTTAGGTTCAACAGTACGAGGTAGAGGCCGCCCATGCCGCCCTCGGCAAAAACAATGCGCGGAGAGCGGTGCACGAGTGAGGCGGGCTCTTGAGTTGTATGCGGGCACTGCTCGAAGTTGTCGGGGCAGAGGGAAGAGCGGAGAGATAGAACTGTGGGCATAATCAAGGCGTCGAGGGGTCAAGGTGCGTGTACTGCCAAGTATCCTTCCCGGTGACACGCGCCTGATCATGGATGAAATTCTTCGTGTCACCCGCCAACTCTTCCTTGTAGAAAGAGAGGATATCACTGAGAGTAAGATGTATCAGTGACGGAAATGCATGACTAGACGGGAGTACTTACTTGCCCGATCTGCACGTTATTCTCGAAGCATTCTCAATATATGCCTAAACCGCCTCGTCGATGTCTTCTCGCGACAGTGGCAGGCCAATCTGTCATCTTTTCATATCAACGGGCATCCTATAGACCATCAGATAGCAGTACAGCGCATACACGTTATTGAACTTGAACAAATCGGTCGCTCTGAAGGGTCGCAATATGCACTTGTGTCGAGTTGGACGTGCAGACGAGCGGACGAGCGGAGGCAGGAGACTAGCGTAACCAAGCTGAAAGAAACAGGAAGCGTCTATAGCTGGGCTCAGCGAAATAGGCGCGGAGGAGGGTGACCTGCCTGTTTCGTTGAGCCCGGTTATCCTAGACGCCAAAACGCCTGTTTTGTTGAGCCCAGTCACTTTAGGCACCTAATGTTCCAGTTAGATTGATACGTGTGTCGGGACGCCACAGCATCGGCGGGCGCCGCCGAGTGCCGCCCTCGCCCGACGGTTTGATAGATGGTCTGGGCCTGACGCGGCTCGTTGCCGGGTTGCCGGTTGCCTTATCTGTGGGGCGACGGACGGAGCGGGCAGCGGGCGCACAGTGGGCGCACAGTGGGTGGGCAGTGGGCGGGCAGCGGGCGCACAGTGGGCGCACAGTGGGTGGGCAGTGGGCGAGCAGCGGGCGCGGTGGGCGATGAGCTTTCCTCACTGAAAACATCCCGACTTTTCTCCACAGTGGTTTCAAGAGAAAAAGTCCAAGCTTTTCGTGGAACTAAATTTTAAGAAAATGTTCAGAAGCAAGAGATGTTCTCTAGACACAGAAAGGCGAGCTACTGTAGGAGAAAAAATGCGCAAAAACAGCCAGAGATTTTTCGGAGAAAAGATTTGACCAACTGAGTAGCATACAAGTTCTAAGAGCAGGGTGAATTTTTATGGCCAATTTTCGTGGAGAAAATACAGTCTGTCTGGTAACCAAAAATACAACAATTTCTTAATTATTTTTTGAAGCTGTTTATGCATATTTTATGCGACAAAAAAGTAGCAGATTTCTCTCGTGTGGGGACCTGTTGAGAGTAGTGCTCACCAATTAAGATTACATACAAAATTTGGGGATATGTATGCATTAGAATTGCGTACAGCGTACACGGACGCCGTAAGTTATGATATGCATAATCTTACGCGTATTTAATTTTAAGTAATCATATTTAATCATATGTAATAAGATTCAGGTGGCATCGACCTCCAAGGCGAAGGTAGTATACTAAGGTAGCTAAGCATCAAATCACCGACACAGCTGTACATTACTGGACACATTCTCAAGGTGATATACTACATCTGCACGCCCACCTCACCGCCAAAGTGGTCGGGCTCAAAGTAGCCCGAAATTTCATGTAGCATCTGGAAGTCGGGCTTGCCATCGGTGCGCAGCGGGAGCGGCCACGGCCCGGACAGGTCGAACAAGAACGCGCCCCCACCGAGGATGTGCATGTCCGAGACGTGGATCGAGTGCACGTCCTGATATTCATACACGGCGCCGACGCTTGCGTGTGAGTCGGTGTGACCGCCCCGCGGGCGCGTCAAAGAGTAGCGGCAAATGCACAGATGCGAGCGGGGGGTTATAAGAGAGCGCGGACACCGTGCTGCCGCTGCCGGAGCTCTTCGTGGACGATGGCATGCTGTGCACAACGTCGGTGTTGTCTGGTGCAATGAGATGTGTCCTGCCGCCGAGCCGATCAGACTCGCACGCAGCGGGGTCCGCGCGCCCGGTGCTGCAGCTTCCGGACGATGTCCTGCGGCAATGTCAAAGGGGGCAGGTCAAGGCGCAGTCAGTGGGGAGAGGGAGGAAGAGGAACGCACGATGTTCCCGGCCGTCATTGTGAACAGGCTAGCAGCAGACACTTCCCCACAAGGGACTTCTTCATGAGCTTGGCTCTTGCATGGTCAATTCTAGCCAGTGTAGAGGCAAACTTCGGCCTCTACCTCTTGAGGAACGCTCGTGACGCACTGACATGACCCGCTGCATGTCGACATCTGGAGAATTCCGATGCCCATTACATAAGGGCTGACACTGTTTCTGTGCTCGGACTTGTAGAGCGCATTGGTGTGCGATTCTTGAGCGTGCGGGTGGTGTGCGCTGTATCTGAAATCTCGGCCCTTCTGGGGTCCAACATATGTAGCATACAGATTACATACGGGCAGCATAATTTACGATATGCATATGTACGCATATGATATGCAGTGCGTACGAGTAGGAGAATGATTACGGAGACCCCCATAATTAATCTTAAGATATGCTTAATCTGAGATTATAATGGTATGTAATCATAGTTTTGGTGAGCACTAGTTGAGAGTGGTCGTGTCGGAAGATGATAAGCGGGTGGGCGCGTGGTCTCGTCAACCTCTGCCTGCAGACAGCGCATGATGTCTCGGCGGCGGCGGCGGCAGCTCCTAGAACATGCACTAGAGCCACTCGAAACTGATAATCCTGCGCACAGTACTGTCAGTCGGGCGCCGGAGACATTGCAGGTAGAACTCACATGTGGCCCATCATCCTAGCTAATGATGTCCTACTCAAGGGAGGCGATGTCCCTGTGGTCCTTCGCACGCAGCTATCTTTGCCACGAGCAGGTGCGCCGGATGAGCGGCGTCCTGTACATTGAGCTGACACGCGTGGGCCCAGTGAATAAAGCCCAAGGCCCAAAGCGGATCTCGAACAAATCGCCGAGGCCTTGTGGCGTCTGGGTTTCACCGGCGCTTTTAGTCCGAGCTTTGCTTTGCTCCTCGACATTCACCATGTTGATCTCCACCCAGCATCAGATGTCCCTGCGCAGACCCTTCCTCAACTTGACAGGTGCCTCAGAGCGTATCCTTCGCTCCATTGGAGTCACGGCTCGCCTTACCTTTCAACGCTGCGAATGAACCTCTCTCTCTCCGACACAGAGCTGAGGCGCGCTGAGGGCCCGACCACCATCGTATCCCGTCTAAACCGACAATCCATCTGTCTCAGACTTGAGGCATCTATATGAGCCTCTCGATTGAACGATTGCTTGCCTTTCCAGCGCCTCGCAGAGTTCATTGGTCAGCCAGACTTGTGTTTTCAGAGCACGGGCCCACCAGGAGCGAAAGGTCGTTGGTTGGAACTATGACATGAGGCTGAGGCCAGGTGCGCACATATAAACACTCTCATTCGGCTGATATCTGAGAATTGGCAGCAGAACGATGTAGACGCAATGCTGGATCTCATAACGGCCCACTCGTGTCCGATTCGCTCATTGCCACCAAAGTGAATCCCTTCCTCAGAACAAAAATGGACATCGGCGGAGCGACTAAAGATGCAAACGACAGGTGCGACAAGAAAGGCCCTGTTGGCGCGATCCACGAGAACGCGTCTCAAAGGGACCGGCCGCGGTAAACCCTAATACTCCAAGCTTCAACCTTGTTGCGAAAGGCCTGCGGGCAGCGTCAGATAACGTACTTAGAGAAGAACAAGACGTATCTCGAAAACGACAAGATCTTGTAGGACACCGAGTGTGGTATGGTCATCTTGGAGAGCAAGATCAGGAAGCTACGCTTGGCCAGCTGCCCTCTGTCGTTCAAGCCCATACATTTGCACAGTGACCCAGAAGCTCGTACGTTTTATTGGCTCCTGATACAAGTGCTGGCTCTCACGTAGATCTTAGGATTGATGGACACGATAATATCTTTCGCGAAGACGCAAGCCAAGAAGAGCCTCCCGCGCTTCCTTTGCTCTATCACGCCCACGACCATGTACCGGCTTCACTCCTTCCCTGATTCTCATGAATTAATGACTCAGACTTGAACGTGTGTCTTTCCGCTGTCGGACGGCATCTTGAACGACTGTTTTGTCGACACATTATATGAATGTACTGACAATCCTACTTGTGAACGACGCCGAACACGCGAAGATCTTTGTATGGCAGGCGTCAGTTGCCGTCGGGCGGCCTCTACATGTACGTCCTCCCTCTATTTTGCGAGTATGAATACCTTATACTCACCTTGTTTCACAGTATCGAATAGATTGCAAATGAAGGCGTACTCGGCCCGCCCAATGAATTGAGTGGATACCTGGGCTTTGAGTCTCCCCAAACGTGCAAATTCTGTATGATCGCAGCGAGGAGGAGTGCGACAAATGGGCGAGTGGGACCGGCAACGCAAGGACACCACCATTGGCCCCGACACTCACTTTTCCCACGTGTTCTTCATCGTGAACTCGGGCAATACGAATTTTATCAGGGCAGACTGTTTGCGTGCGCCTGTATTGCCCGCTGCAACACCGGTTCCCCTGCGATGAACGCTGCGCCCGAGCCTGCGGGTGTGGCGATGACGGCATCACCTCCACCTCTCTCCGGTCGCAGGCCCATGCCCTCCCTTCCCCTCGAAGTCATTGTACGGACAGTTTCATCCATCGCAGCGATCATCGAGGTCAAGCTAGCAACGAGATGACGACATCCAAGGCTGACCTACCTCCGGTGCCATCAATGCCCTCTTCTGGACCGTCCGACAACCTGTTGCCTCATCCCTACTGTCGCACCAGGCTCCCACCGTGCCTGCAAGACCCGTTCAGCAGGCGTCCGGCTTGGTGATTCTGAGGCACCAACTTACGAGGCTGTTGGTGAAAAGCATGGCACGGGATCGGGGCTCAGGTACGCGTATACACTCACTCAGCCGACTGTTGTCTAAAAATTTGCAGAATCGCTTTGGATACCGTGGTCGAATCTCGCGAGAACATTGTCGCTGCCGTTGCGAAGAAGAGCTTCTTCGACGTGGTGATGGTCGCTGGTGAAGATAATCGAAGGCTCGCTGTACAGGCGTAACAATATGCGCGCTATTGCTACAGCCTACGAGAGCACATTTCAGGAAGGATTGGCCGCGCTAGATTTCGAGGTTCAACCCGTTCTGGAAGGCCTTCAGACGGTGTACAAGAAGAATAGAAGAACGGGCTTCGTCTAGGGGACAGCAGGATCTTGCGCGACGCCGAGGGCGGCATCGTCGGGTTGAAGAGGAAAGTCGCCAAGAAGCGGGTGGCCAGTTGACCCGTACGGTACACGTGTATTGCGGCCCGAAATGTCGTACGTCTATTTCGCTCTCGACGCGGCTTTCGCTTCTCACTGAGATTGCAGAGACGACAAAGACAAGAACCTTTGCAAAGACGCGACTCAAGAAGTGCTCGCGTTTTGGTACTCTTTCGTGCTCACGGCCACGTCTCGGCTTCGTCCTCTCTCTGGCTCTCCGGGAGCCCCGATTGCACTTGGCCAGGACGTACAGGCTGGTCGAAATGCATTGCCAGTCGTCGTTGTGGGCCGTCTCGAGCAACTACTCAGCGGCGCTGAGTACGTCACGAGCCAAGCCTTTAATCGGTCCACCCAATGAATCAAGCAGACCCCCACGTTTTGAGGCTCTTGAACCGTCCAAGTCCTCCGTCTCGTACGTCTTCATCCAGGGCGGAACACGCGACCGGTGAACGACTACATCTGCAACACAAGAGCGCCACTGGTGGCATCAATGCTGCTCCTCCCGGCTGTCCTTCATCGTGGTCTCAGGCGCCCTGAAGCCCAGGCAGAGCCGCAAGTCCGCGTGGGCTTTGGGCGCCTGATACGACACTGTCTTTTTCTGGGACGAGCACCATATTGAACCTGCTGGTGCAACACAACAACGCCGCCTCTTACACTTTATAATCGCAGGTCAACACCTTTCCCCTATCCCGAAGACAGGTTCATTCACCTTCAATACTCGAACGCCTCCCACCGCCACTTCCTCTCCGGCAATGAGGCATTTTCACCAGCCAGCACGAGCCCTAGCTCCGCACTTGAGCTACAGCGGCACGGTCCCGCCTTGCACACTCGACGACCCCGAAGAAGACGAGGAGAACGTCGACACGCCTGGCCGGCGCGACGCGAGCACAATGAGCACAGCGAGCGCGCCAGAGGGCTTCGCGGTACCCGCGCAGTCTGCTGCGAATGCCAATTCCTGCTACGGCCAGCGCAGCTCGGAGAAAGCACCGCATGGCAGCGGGGCCAGTTCTCGCCTCCTGCGGTCGTGACTCGCACCACACCAGTGACGACGAAGTTGAACGCCATCGGCGAGGGCAAGACTAAGCGCCGGTAGCTCTCGCTCGAGAGCCTCAAGACGAACGGCGTCCAGTTCGCGTGGGGCTTTGCTTCGCGACTGTGCTGGGATCACTTTGGGCCTCAGCTTTAGTCGTCTGCCGGTAGGCTTTGTTGTTTGACGACTCGGACTCGGCGAGCGCCCATCATTTCGCAACTTTGATGTTTGCACCGCGATGTTCACTGTAGGTGAGGTGGACCAACGCCACGGCATTCATGTAGTGTCACTTGTATGTGTGGCGTACACTTATGATACATTTACTTTGGATACAACATATCCCTGTACTACTGGAACTATGCTCCGACTATGTACGAAGGCGCACATCCTGAATACACTATTACGTGTGATTACTGTGCAAGCTGTCTAGGTACCTATTCAATCCTGAGAAATTCAGCTTATACCCGCTCCTGAACACTATATGGTGCCCACAATATCCCATGATGCCCTCGCGATGCCAGTCTAGCGGAACCCAACACAATCGCGACCGCCGCGACGGCGTCAAAGAGAAGATCCAGTCGTCCTCGACGTAGTATATAGGCCAGGTGCAACGCGGAAGCCATGGGAGCGGCGTCGTCACCTGCGCGTCTGTGGCATCGATAGGGGCCCACAGCTGAACAAGCCGTTTGCCATGATCGACTAGAACTCCAGAGCCGTCGGGGGAGAGGTGCAGGGTGCGGTGCCAGGTATGTGGGTCAAGGACGAGGAGACAAGCGCCGGATTCGACGTCCCAAGTCGCATGGTTTTGTCCAGCAAGGAAGAAATGATGACATCCCCGGCCGGAGCAAAGGCAACCGACCACACCATGTTGGCGTGCCCCTCCAGCTCCCGGAGTAGTTCCCCTCCCTCTGCATTCCACACTAGAACGAGATGGTCTTGGCCTCCGGACGCGACACGTTCTCCACTGGGAGAGCAGGCGACAGAGCAAACCCAGTCCTCATGGTTCACGCATGTCGCCAGGGATGCTCCGGTGGCAGCATCCCAAATGATGACAGTTGTATCATTGGAGCCTGTTGCAATACGTCTGCCATCCAGCGAGAAGGTGGCGGAGCAGACACTTTCTGTATGTCCGACAAATTTGCGAATGAGCTTGCCTGTCGCAATGTCCCAGAGACAAGCAAAATGATCGTCTCCGGCTGCGGATAAATTTGGCATGAGCAGGTAGCGGCTGTCTTGCGAGAACTTTAGCGACGATGACCGGCCGCCGAAGCAGTGAGACATGTAGCCCAAGACGGCGGTCCACATGAAGGTGTCTTCAAAAGAAGGGGACCAGTACGCAACGTCCAGCTTGCCCTCTAGCTGGAGACGCGGCGACGCGGAAGCAGTGTCCCAGAGTGCCACCACGCCACGATCTCCCTCTGATGCAGTAAGAATCGTTGCATCGTCCGGTGATAACGCCACGTGGTGCTTATGTTTTGAGGATACGGTCAGGGGCTTGTATGCGTGGTCCCACGAATCAGTCTTCGCCACCTCAATACTAGTACTGGACCTGTCGTTGGAAACCAGCAGCGCACGCCTCGTGTTGTGAGTGAAAATGACTGAGGAGTAGCCCATTGAAATCTCGCTGGACAGATTGGATGGATTGCTGGTGTACTCGGGTTGTGGCATGATCGCCGCAGGTTGCGTCACGTCCCACTGCCGGACAGTGCCATCCGACAAGCCAGACGTGATGTGAGTCCCGTCTTGGTTATAAGCGACACTCCTGACATCCTTGGTGTGACCGGAGAATGTCTGTCGAACCTCGCCACGAGCAAAGTCCAAAATGAGGACAGTGTTATCCGCCCCACAGGCGAGTATGTCTCCTGTTGAAGGAAAGCTGGGACTGTAAATACACTTGAATGATGGGCCTGATGGCTAGAGGTCACGGAGGTGCATCGCAGTCTCGACATCCCAGACTGACAGCTTCCCCAACTTGGGGCTTCTGGTATACGATGCGATCAAAATCTGGGAGCTGTCTGGTGTGAAGGAAACAGCATGATCAGGAAAGTATTCGCCTTCGGGAGTCTCCACAACACGATGAGTGTATGCCGGCACCTCCAGGCTCCACAGAATGACTTGGTGGAACGAGCTCGACGCCATCCAACGGCCGTCCTGAGACACCGCAATGGATGAAACATAGCTATCGTGTGCGGTCAGGGTTGCCAAACAGGCACCTGTTCCTGCGTCCCATATCTTGATAGACCGATCGTTGGAGCCAGATACGATGAGGCTGCCGTCGGGTGTGAAGGCTGCGCAGGTCACGTCGCCTGTGTGCCCTTTCAGGGTGTGGATGAGCACGCCGGACACCGCGTCCCAAATCTTGACCGTTCCGCCTACAGCAGCAGAAGCTATGTGAGCGCCGTCCGGAGAGTACTTGACAGAGAAAACAGCGTGAGAATGACCGGAGGGGACTGATAGCAGGGCGCACGTCAGCGCGTCCCAAACGCGTATCTTGCGGTTATACCCTGATGAGGCAATCATCCTGCCATCGGGTGAGAAGTCGACCGCCGTGACCCATTTGCCCCCATGTGCGGTGACCGTGCCCAAGCAGGCGCTCCACATGCCTGGCACACTGCCGAAGACCTTGACAGAGATCTCGGAGAAACATTCGTGCGCGTACGTCTGTGCCAGCGCGGTCTTCTTCGGGATGAATGATAGGAGCGAATAGTACAGATGTAGCGCTGAGCTGCTGATCGCAGGAAAGTAGCCGACAACCAGCCGTTCGCAGTCATTCAGCAGAACAATAATGTCCCTCGCCCGGTCATCGTTGATGTCCTGCCCAGGATCTTAGATAGATGAGGTCTACTCGAGAGCAAGGTGCACTCACCCTGAGCTTCCGTTGTACCTCGTTGATGCATGAGGTGACATCCCTCAACAATCCGAGAAGGCTGCAGGCCTCAATCCAATGCAGTAGCTGCCTTTACACGAACTCAAGAAGCATTTCCAGAATCTCGTCCAACAGCTCGCTGTTGAGTAGATGAGTGCACCAATGCCGACATGCATACCGCGGGTGTGCTGGGATCGCGCTCTCCATCCGGCCCAACAGGCCAGGAACCTCGCTGTTGAGCAGCGATGGGTCCCGGATGTTGCAAATGTCTCGTTTCAGTTCCTTCAGCGCATTGAAGCACCTACGCAGCAGGAGCGTGTTCTGCCGCTGCGAGCCGACAGTGAATGAACGATTCATGCAGCGGCTCGGGTCGAGCAGGAACTCGGCAAACGTCGGGTGGATTATATGGATATTCTCCGCAGACTCTCGAGCAGCTGGGACGATGAGCACAGAGTGGAGACGCGCGAGGGAGCTGCGCACGGTGTCAATGGAGAGAGCCCAAGCAGCCGCGATAGGCCAGTGGGAGGAAGGGGCTCCTTGATGACGATGATCGAGCCAAGCACGGTCTTCAGTCGATCTGAGAGACTCGCCGATATGTAGTGAATATGAGAGTCTTCAGCTGTCCAACCGAATCGCTGTACTCTTGGTCACCGATGAACTTGACGGTGGTCGCTGCAAAAATGAACAAGCCGTTGGCCATTTTACTCAGTATCTCGACATCGGCCTCGTTGGGCCAGGAATTGGCCAAGTCGAAATACCGCCTGATCTCTGACAGGGACGCCGTCAGATATCGCTTGATGTCGGCAGTGGTGACAGGCTGCAATTCGACTGCGTGTAGGAGTAGCTTGTCAAATGCGTTGCGGTAGCCGGGAGTGTCAAACACGGTAACAATATCTCGTTCGGGGCGGCTGGTGACAAGGAATCGGAGCAGTGAAATATTCTCTGCATGTTTGTCATGAATATCACGTATTCCGGATGGTTCTCCCAGATTCCTCAGTATTCTTTTACTTTCTATACACCTCCATATATTTGTAGGATATTCCAGGTATTCAGTCTGACATGTATATAAGGGGCTTGTATTGCTCAATAACAAGCCAGACTCAAGCTGGTCTTCACTCACTCATATTCCTCTCGTCTGTCTCCTCGGCTTTGTCGTAGCTCAGTCCAGTTGGATTGTTAGTTGCTGACATTAGCTCGAGTCTCCTCCAACTGCCCTACGACGATCCTTGTCACTCCCACACCAACCATCACCTATCTCCACACGACGATCCACCCTATACGTATTGTTGTGATACGACGACTGGGCTGCGCGAGCGTGAACTGGCGAGTGGCACGCGGGCACGATCTCATACACACGGTGGTTAGTCTGGATGCGAAGGGAAAGAGCACGCTGTATATGTCTAACCTAATACACACGGTGGTTAGCTATACAGGCGGTGGTAAGCATAAGGCATACTGCAAGGGCGACGAAGGGAGACTTACTCTGGGTGCGAAGGGAAAGAGCACACAGAGTGGGGATGCGAGAGGAGTCCTTATATACTAAAAGGGGGGGAAATTGAAAGTCCGCTAGAATGGGGAAGCCTGCCATAAAGAGGTCCATGCGTGGAGCACTCCATACAATTGTCCAATCACTATCTATGTATTAGCAGCGCCTAATCTAAGATGTCCACCTTAAGTCCATGCCGGGCGAAACGCCGAGCCAGAGCCACTAGGCGCTTCAACAATACGCACATCCGACTCTCACCCTAAATCCTAACCCTATCAACTCTACCGCATCAAGACCCAGACCCCTGGAACCCTTCTCCGTGCACTTGCGCGTTTTTACCACATCACACACTCCGAAGTCACCTCTGTAATCACTAGCCCTTAGGCAGCTAGACAGAGCTCCGTCCAATTAGAATTGTACACTGCTCTACTATAGGTGGTGTTAAATGCTTTGCGCAGTGCAAGCGGATATTCCTGAGTACGACGTGGCAACCGGTTGCGACTGGGCATCAGAAAAGAGATAACAGTTAGATCGACGATCCCTTTCCGGGCGTCGGACCGAAGAGAAGCAATCGCTCTTTGGGCTGTTATAATATTCCTAGAACTGTATTACAATTAGTGTTTCGATTCTTTGTCGGAAATTCTCATCTTTGGCAAATTCTACCCCTAATCTGGTCGTTACAACACAATTAGTCCCAGGGTTTGCTGCAACCAGCTTCACAGATTTGTTAGCCCATGACCACTATACCCTCTTGTAACTGTAGAGGATATACACACCGAGTACTCAACGGGCAAACTATCTATAACAACGCCGGAACCGTACGTTACTGTGTGCAACAACTTTGCCCGCATTCTCCAAAGGATAGTACCCATTGCCCACGGTGTGAAGAAGGATTATGCGGAGAACTACTAGAGAGAGTTCCCACAGGAGAACCTTCAGAATCCCTTGCAGTCTCCCAAACCAAAGCGTTTGGCTCAGAACCCAGAGTTAGACGAGACACCCTCAAATCGGTCACTGACCATCTCCGGTCAATTGCCCTCGGAGAATCTGAAATACCACCAGAAGGTCCCCCAGACCCCGTGGAAGAAGCTGTAGAAGATTCTGAACCACCAAGTCCCCGATGTTCTCCCACCCCACCGTCTTTCCCATCAGACCCCGGCGCAATGGCCAAAGTCCAAGACAATGCCGCCTTCATTAATGGAAGCGCGATGGAACCAGATGCCTTCGACGGCACGAAATCCAAGTACCTTCCTTGGAAGACCCAGATGAAGCTTTACGTAGTTACACAAAGGAAGCGACTACCTGAGCAATTTGACAGGGTTCTAATGATCCTGTCCTACATGAAGGGGGGACATGCTGGTGAATACGTTGCCACGTACATGAAAAAATATGACACCGATGAAGACACGGTGATCCAGACCACGAAAGCGCTATGGGAAGACCTCAACAGACACTTCCTAATTGATGAGGCATCAGAAGCCTACGACCGGCTGCAGGCAATGCAGATGGGAGCGCTATCAGCACAGGAGTTCTTTTCAAAGTTTGAGTTGTGCGCCTTCCAGGCGAATATCCATGACTTTGAAAATCATTTCCAGGAACTTAAGTCCCTTCTGAAAAAGGCACTCTGGGCTGATAACATTCGGCTCCTGTACAACTCGTTCATGATGTCTGTGGGCTTGGATCAGTTTACGACAGGGTATTAGTATTGATGGCTTGATATTCTAGGGCTTGGACATGTACTTAATTGCTTCACCCTTGAGCACGGTCTTACCGAGCTAGAACGAATGCCACGTGATGGTCGTTAGCCTGGAAGTCTACTGGGAGATTTATCCCACACACCGTAATGGCTGGCCTGCCATGCCCAATTGCTAAACAGCAGTTGCATCTGCAGATGAGCAGGGGTCAGAGCACTGGTGACTGAGATGGAGGGAAGAAGCAATGTGAGAGAAAGAATGGTGTCATGGTAAAAGAGTATAAATACCCAGGAATGGATCCTCTGAAACCTGATGAGAACATGACGCCATCTGGGTTTAGGGCAGGGTTTAAGCGCCTTGTATTCTCAGAACCTGCGCGAACATGGTGTGGAAGACATTGAGTGAGAGCAAAGCTTTGTGTTTGATGGGCCCACCTTCAATGTAGTAGTATTTCAGCCTTGCACAAGTCTGGCAGGGATAGTGATGTGCAGGCTTGGCCCAAGCCATGGGCTTAAGCCCGGGCTTGCAAAGCTTAGGACAAGTATTTATATGCTACGAACATGAGCATATTTGTATGTGATAGGCTGCTATTGCATGTACCCACTGTACTGCAGCCTTCAGAGAGCATGCGACTGCGCTACAAGCCATGTTATGACAAGGTTCGCGAAGGGGTGCCTACGGCGAACGCCAGGCGGTGGCACACAATTGTGCCTAGTCACACTAGCAGGGACCGCCCAGTCTGGTAAGTCAACGTCCCATCTTGTATGTGTATATAAAGTCGTTCTTACCATGTTTTGAGCCCAGGGAACGGCAACACATTTGGTGCACCCAAGCCTGGGCTTTTGGGCTGGGCTTGGGCTTGACTACGCTCTGAGCCCGGCCTTAAGCCTGCTGCCAGGCTTAGCTCGGGTCAGGCTTTTTGGGCCGGGCTTGGCGTGCTCGCGGGCTTTGAGGCCCGGCCCGCACATCACTAGGCAGGGGCAATGGGCAGGCCACGCCATGCAGCAGCAGCTGTGCAGGATGGCCAATGTGAACAGGGCAGCTGACATACCTCATACATCACGTCCTACACAACTGGACTGATGACGAGCCAGTAGAGGTCCTCGGCAACATGCGTGCCACAATGCCCATGTTGAATGAACATGAACACACATGACTGCATGCCAAAACAGCTGCGGCACAAAAATAACAGTTTTGTGTACTTGGCTAGTGCTGCATATTCTGAATCACAACTCAGAGAAGATGTTCACAAAGGCAGAGATGCTTGGCCTGTTGGGATGTGCAGAGTCCAAGGAAGTCAAGGTTTGACCATTAACATCTAAACTGTGCCAAGTACATATGATACAAACACCAGGGGCAAAAGTACAGAATAGTGCACAGTTCTACGGAGTTTCCGTACAAGTTCCATGTCTGTTTCTGTACAAGTTCCGTGTCTCCGCACTTTCGGGTGTTTCCTGATGTACCAGCCAGGGGTGCAATAAGTAACATGGTTGCTGGTCGAGCCACCTTTGTTATTTCCAGATTGAAGTTGGCCAACAATGCAAGCTTTGCTGTTTGTCATGTGCCAGACGAAGGAACCCAAGTCTTCTTTAGCAGAGAAGGCTTCGACACCCTTAACGCCTGAGTTGTAGATGCTGAGCTCGACGGACTCGATGCCAACTTTGTTGAGAGTGAACGACATCAGGCCGGCATAGCGTCCAATAGTGAGGTCAGTAGTGTTGCCATTTTTACCGACAATAAGGCAGCGCTGGCCTTTGCTGTCAAACTCTGTGGGGTTGGTGAGGTCCTCTTTGGTGGCGTAACCCTCAATCCTGAGTTTTCTCTCCTCGGAAAACTTGAATGTAGTCGCACCACCACCCAGATGATAGAACATTGCTGTAAGTTCTTGAGGAGAATACTTAGATCCTGAATAAAGTTGTTTTTGTTAGACGAGGTCAATAGGAGAAAGATGTGTCGAAACGCGCTGAGATCAACGACATTACTTTTGAACTCATCCTTGACCTTCGCCTCAGCGGCCAAGAATGCAGCCCAGTCCGATGTATATAGCGTGCCACCTTCAATGTCGATCGTGATGGATGCAGCGTATTGAACGTGGCCAATGTTGCAGTGAAGATTAATCTCAGACCAGTGCTTCATGACTTTGTTGTAAAAGGCCTTGAGATCAGCGATAGCCTCGTTCACGTCTTCCAAGTTGCGTCGATTTGCGCGGATCCCTTTCGCGTTATCTGCGTCCTGCCTCTCCTTCGCCTGCAATTTGACAATCTCTCAGGCCCAAAGGTCGGCGAGAATGCCATGGTCACTGATGACCTTCTTGATCACATCAAGGCCCTGCTGGAATCAATGCATTCTGCAAACTCAAAAGTGGTCCTTGGGTGCGCCGCTTCTGTGCTCGTACTTGACAGTGGTGTCCTTACGAAGGACATGGCAATTACTGACTTTGTAAACCTTGTCGCTAGGGTTGCCGTCCTTGTCTTTGTTTTCATGGAACCAGAGGGTGAGAGTGCCCTGGACATCCTCCTCCTCCATCCCTTCGGTCGCAAAAGGAATGCGGAGAAGAGCAGTGAAGATGCGACAGACATAGTGGATGGCATTGTTGCTGCTGACATGATGCATAAGGGGTGGACCTGTCAGCCTTTGCAGGACAGCCTCGCGCCATTCCACAATAGCATCCTTGACTCTATTCTTCAGGAGAAGCGTAAGAATCTCTCGGGAGACCTCGTGGGTGGTATCGGAAGAGGTAGAGCCAGGAATGACACTAACCCATATGACGACAGGACCAAGACTCTCCTTGTGCTCCTCTCCCGGCAGTCCGTGCGTGAAGAAGTGGGCAGGGTCGACAAACAACCAGTTGATCTTCCGAGCCTTGATCAGATCATGAATCTCAGGAGCGACAGTGTCCCAGACACTATTGAGCGGGGTGTCAAAAATTCCCCGGAGCGACTTGACAGGAAGATGGGCGTGTCTGCCAACGGGCTTGGGGGAGGGCGTAGTGGGGAAATCTGAACGGTAAACGAGTTCCGGGTGGTCGCCGTCTCCGGTGATGCCGTTATAGTAGGAAGTCCTCTCGTACTCGTCGGGGGTGTACTGGGAGACAACGGTGGCATCGCTGGCGAGGGCGAGGGTGGAGAGATTGGAAGACATTGCAGATACATTGCCTAGAGTGAGAAGCCAGAGTGCTTGCGTTGGTGGCCCCTGAAGTTCATGCACTCAGAAGCAGAGCCGAACCCTGCCAAATTTACGGTCCCACGCCAGATGACGTAAGCATTGGCGGACATTCCAAAGGCGGAAGCGAGCCAGGGAAAGGCTTAGGGACATTGTCGAGAAAGCCTCGAGCATCAGGGGGTCACAAAAATTTGTAGACCAGCGTTATTCAGTTTGGCTTTGGTGAATTCAAAAGCTTCAAAAGGTCTGTGACTCTGTGGAATAGATGAAGGAAAGAACGATAGGACTCACTCGAAGGATCCATACTGAAGTCAACGCCACGTAGACGAGTGCATTCAGCAAAGTTCGCAGTAGTTACTCGATGCCCACCAGGGCTGCATCGGGTTTAAACGTTAAACTCTGAGCGATAATGGCATAGCGCAAGTTATTCCCATGCTTCTTTGCGTCAGCCCGCCAGGCACTGTACATGTACAGTAGTAGAGTGTGTATTTACTCAATCAAAAAGTAAGTAAATAGGAATCATACATGCTGCGGTGAGCACCGTAGCCCCGAGACTCCCTGAGACCGTTTCGTTGTCTGGTTAAGATTGCACATCAGGCAGAGGCAGTAAATAAAATGAAATAAGAAGTCACATCCGAGCAATCAAATCCGTACAAAACATTATCCATCAGACCACGAATAGGAACATAACAAACCAAGTCGAATATCACTATGCTAAGAGTTCCTGGCGACATAGGGCGCAGTCGAAGTTACGAGACGAAGCACCGACCATCTTGAGTAGTGATTTGACTGGCTCGGCTTGGCCCAGAAGCCAGTGGCTTTGGCTTGGCTTTGCCAGGCTTAGGCTTGCAAAAACCCAAGCCAAGCCGCAAGCCACCGCAAGCCATAAGCCAGTGGCTCGGCTTTGGCTTGGGCCACGGCTTGCGTCCTAATTAGGCAAGTGCTGTGGATTGACCTTGTCAATGGTTCCACAGCTGCCATACATAGACACGCAATCATGTACTGCATATAAATGGTTTTCCTGTAAATTATAAGGCCTAAATAAATGCTCTGAGGTATAATATCAATGTGGAACATCAGTAAAGCTGTTCACAAACTCGAACTTCACATGAACAAGAAAATCTTTGCAACGCTTGTATTGCCGGCGCATCTTTGCATTATACATCATAACAGCTACTCATATAAGTCCATATCATTGTCGTCTAGAAGGCCAAGGTTCCAAGGTCCCAGAACGGAAGCCTCCTGCGCATTCAAGGTCATCTCAGCAAGATCCTGGGCCAATCTTCCTCCTCCACCAAGGAAGATGGCCCAGGCTCCCGGAATATGAGATCGTGCTTGAGGAGCCGACAACATCTGCCTTTAACCAAGTTTTTAATGATGTCATAGGGTGGTAGATTTCAACGGAGGCACCGATGAAAGCTACCACCCAATGACATCATTGTTTTGAGCGCTGGCACCCCGCCATGTGCCCTGCTATGTGTCCTCTTGTCGAAGCTCAGTCTCAGCAAAAGTTGATTGATTTATGTAAATTAGAAAATAGATACAGTACAGGAGAGTACAGTATAATATTTGAGGGATTTATTGCTGATTACTCTAACAGTAGTACTAAATACAGTACATTTATTATCCAAAGCCATGGCTTGCCGGCTTGGCTTGGCTGGCTTGACGTGCAAGCCAAGCCAAAAGCCTGTCCAAGCCGGCACCCTTTGGCTTGGCTTGGCCCAGCTTGTGCAGGCTTGGCTTGGCCTGCTCGCTGGCTTCAAGCCGAGCCAGTCAAATCACTAATCTTGAGCCGCCACTACCGCTAGTGATGTGCGGGCCTGGCTTGGGCTCAAAGCCCGGGCTTGGGCTCGGCTTAGGAGGGCCAGGGCCTGAGACGAGGACAAGCCCGGCCCTGAGCCCTGAGAGCAGGCCAGGTCAGGCCCGGCTTGGGCTTAAGCCCTGGGCTTGTAACGTGTCGAAGGGCCTCTGGTACTGTTGGGACCCCGTAGACCCTTCATCGCTCGAGATACCTTTCTCGCTCTGTACACCCAAATAGTCTGAATCTTGCCTGCTCAAACTCGAGTATATCATACAATAGAAGCTTCATTGATGTACAAACCAACCTACATAGAGCCTACATTACTGAGTACTGGCGGTGGTGGTGGCAGGTGACTCAGTAGATAAATCCTCATAGATGTCGTCGTCGTCCTCCAATATCTCATCCCATGAGTGCTCACCACCTTCCTTCGACTCGTCACCCTCTACCAGCTCACCATCATTGGTAGTGGTGTCAACACTGTCATCTGCCGCATCCAAAAATGACTCATCTTCTTGCGCCGAACAAGGGCCATGTTTTTTGAACAGCAGGTCACGCTGGATGGCACACTTGAGGCATTGCAAGCCCTCGACAATATCACTCTTGAGATGGTTACGGCGTTTGCTGATAGTTATGCCACCCTGCGAGAAGGCACGTTCACTTGAGACCAACGTTGCCATTATAGGAAGGTAGTCCAACGCAAGCGAAGCCCACGTAGGATACCGGTATGCGTTCCGCTGTCAAGAGCAATGAGTAAAGACTTGTTTCGCATTCGAAAATTTGAGACATACCCCCCACCACTGCACATGAGAGATGCCCGGAGGGATATCTTCTCTCGTCTGAAGATAATGATGATACTCTGCATACCATGGCTTGCTTGCACTTGTACTGTCCGAACCTAGCTGTGTCTTGTCGTCATCTGACTCGTTGTCCGAGAGAACGCGCTTGCTCGTCTGCGGCTTGAGAGAGGCGCCGGGCTTGGAAGATGTGGCTGTTGCAGCTGACTGCATTGAAGCAGCGTTAAGCTTCGTGTAGCGTTCACTAAACTGCTACAAATGTAAGCAAAAATGATCTTGTCAAGCATATAAGCAACTCATGCCTTGCTCCATTAATGCTTCGGCCTCCTTCTGAAGGCCAACATACCAATGCTTCTCGAAATGAGAACCTTTGGCGTCAGGTGCGAGATCTGCGTTAGAGACACACATTAGTCATGAATGCACAAAGTGCTACCCAATGAGAATACGTACACATTGAGATGATGTAAGCCTTCGAGTCACCCGTCTTGTCGTAGTACTCCGCAATCTTGTCTGCACACGCATGCAGTGCATTGGAGAAGTGAGAGTAGCGATCCTTTGCGGCACGTGTGGACCATGCCTTGTGCAAGCCTTCGAGAGCTGGAATGGCATACTGCAGGCACAGGTGAGTTTCAGATGAAAACGCATGCTGGCGTTCATCAGCATGCTGTAGTTCAAGATGTTAGCGGCGTACAATGACCAGTGCAAATAACCTTACTGCGAGCAGCTGTGCAAACAGATCCGCACGCTCCCACTCGTCGCTTGTCAGCCGCAGCGCCTCTAGCTTGCGCCGCTTTGTTTTGTCCTTCTCATCACAGGCTATAGCTGTTACAAAGTTGTCGACATGCTATTATGAGCAATGTCAGCACAGTGAAGTACGAAGAGCCTGTCAGTCAGGCCAGACGATCATAGTACTTACATCTTGGTCTTCGATTGCTCGCAGTATCATGACATACATAGAAGACCATCGAACCTTCATGTCGAGCAGCAGCTGTCGTGGTGTCTCAGCTTTTGCCTTGATTTGAATGTGCCGATACGTCTCCTTGCGCTTTGCAGAGGAGCGCTCCTACGACAGACATAGCATGAGTACCAGGTAAGTAGATAACAAACAGCCACATACCTTGACAGAGATCGCACGTATGAGGCCAACCTCATCACGTGTATCACTGTCACCCACCGTAGTGGTGGGCAAGTGCTTTTTGGGATCTTGTGGGTCATAATGTGGCGCTTTGCTGTACGTGCTAAGCATAGCTTGTGTGGCAAGATTGATAACGTGCGTAATACAGCTGCAAAAGATATCGTAAGAAGCGTGGCTATGACAGTGCCCTTTGATGTACTTTATGCGACCCTCCTTTGGGTCCCAACTAGTGCCGGTTCGCCGCTTCACTAACTGTGCAAATTCTTTAAGCATGGTACCGTTGTTCTTTGCATTGTCACAGGTCACATAGCCAATCTTTAAAAGCGCTATGAGATCAGCATGCAAAGCAAACAACAGAAGGACGCACCCGGTGAGAAATACCTAGACGGTTGACTACCTTGAACAACGCTTGCCCCAATTGACAGCCATTATGGGCATTATTCAAGTGCGTGAAGCCTGCGAGGGCACTCTCCATTCCCCAATGGTCCTCGGAGATCTTCTCAATAAAATGAATTGTGACCGACGAATAGGCGTCGATGTTGTCTGCCTGCCATCCATCGGTTGTTAAGTTTATCTTCCCGGTAACCCGAGAACTCTATCAAATACTGGAGCTCAGCAAGGTTTCTAAATTAGCCTATGTAAACTCACATTCAACTTCGCTTTCAGGTTGCGCATATACTCCTTAAACATGGCGATGATCTTCTGTCGCGCAATCTTGCGTGAGGGGATTTCAACACCGTCTCGTGCCTGAGAAGCAATGTTGATCATCTTCTTGAAAGACTCGTGTTTGAGCGCAGATAAAGGCTAGCCCTGAAGTGAGCTCAGTAGCTCTTGTGAGTTAGTAGTGTTGGGCGCACCTGCCCGGTGGCAACCAGCCACTCTATGGCAGCCCGTTGGAAGACCTGATGCGTATATGCAATAACACGCTCTTTCTTCGGCATCTCTTTCAGGTGCGGGTCGAGTTGCAACTGCTTATTGCGCTCTTTCTCAGCAGTGAGCGCTACACACTCCTTCTCTCGGTCCTTCGGAAGCATTGACTTGAGCTTTTTGAGCTCGATGTGATTCCGATATTTGCCCTACAGTGGTGTTGAGATGAACAAGAATTGTAAAAATATGTCAAATCTGCACACCTCATGCTTTGACTCCATATGGCAATGAAGAGTCGACACGTCATGCACAAATGAGCTTCTGCAGCCCTCAGCATAAATATAATATATATGAGCAATGTCAAATGAACATACTTGCAGATGTTACACATGCGGCGCGTCACCAACTTTCCCTTCTCAGTCTCTTTAAACTTCGGGCCAAAGAATGGGTTGACGTCTGCTGCCTCTTTAGATCAGCGGACTGTCTCGTTGATGTCCTGGACTTGGATATTGGCAAGGAGACCATCAGGTCCAACCTCTTCTGCTATAGGACTCTTGGAGCGTGTGCGGCGTTTCTCTGCATAGGTATTTGTAACTTCTATACTCAAGGGCGAAGGACGATTACTTACTCTTTAGCTTCTTTGCTGGCTTCTTCTGAGCGGCCTTCTCACCTCCATATGTTGATTTTGCACTGTCGGAGGCATCTTCATCATCACCTTCGGAGCTTATAATGATTGTAGAACGCTTTCCTGTGTTATGGCTCAGTATATCCAGGTTTGCAGCACTGATGCTACCTATATGACCTACTTTTGTGAACTAGAACTTCGTCTTCATCACTTGTGAGCTCCTGTACATCATCTGTCTGCGTGTTTGGAGTCGGAGCTGTAACCGGGCGCACATCGTGAGAAGTAGCTTGTGCAGAGTCTTGAGTGTCGGCTGTTGGCTCAGTGTGCTGATTCTGTACCCGAGTATGTTCCGCTACTGCTTTCTGATGGCTAGTTGTGACAGGCTTCGCGCTGTTGGTCGGGTCAACGAGCTTGCTGGTGGGTTGTTGGCGGCGCTGAGGTCTGGTCGGCGCTGACACCGTATCCGCCATCTCGAGCTCAACTTGCCTGAAACGGTCGGTTGAGTCACAAACTGTCACGGCTAATTTTTATTTCTGTGTCACACAGGTACTGTACAGTATTTGATCGCCTTAAACACTTTAACAAGCCCGGGCTTCAGGGCTTGCAAGGCCAGGCTTGACTTATAAGCCCGGCCCTGAGCCTAGCAAAGCCCTTACTGACGGCCCGGCTCGGCCGGGCTTAGTAGGGCTGGGCTTGTCGGGCTTGTCGGGCTTTGAGCCCGGCCCGCACATCACTAACTACCGCACATATGGCTAATGTAGCGGCAGTCTTGTCATCCGCAGCATCACAACATCGCTGGACGACTGTACGGCGGTATCAGCTCTGCACGCAACATATAAACGATCCTGGACGTACATCATTGCTAGCGAGCACCTGAGCGAGCTCGTTATCTGCGCAAACGCCTTTTTTCGAGCGTGAACGCCAAGTCATCGCTCATCGTGGTGAGCTTTCAGGTGTTTGCCTTAAAAAATGCGGCCTTCAAGCCTCCGGTTCACTGCCACCCGCCTTTCAGTAGCTCGCGGACTCCCGTCCGACCCCCTCAGCGCTCCACCCGATCGCTCAGCGAGCACTGGCGCCGATGTAATTTCTTATTGTCGGTCTGCGCCTGCAAAGCAGAGAAGCCTGTGAAGCAGCTGGTTGCTCGAAAGTAGGCGATGCACATACGCGCTGATAACACTCACACGATGAGGGCTCATACTTGATGAACCCTGTTCGATCCTGAGACGTGGGCCGTCAATATTCTTGACATACTTCGGTCGGCAGCCGTCGCACCACGCGTAGGTAAAAGGTGAAATGCACCAGTGCGAATTTGCGACCAAATGAAGCGTGTGAAGGGTACAGGCTTGAGCGAACGTCGGGAGTGCATGTATGCTGGATCTATCTTCTGTGTCGGTCGTGCGCCCCGAACCGTTCGTCCAGAAGTACGAACTCGCCACCACACTTTTCGTCTCCGTTCCCGACGAGTGAGACACGCTCGTAATCCAACTTTCGTCCGCAGCCCTACGACCAGTCAGCAAATCAATTAAAGCGGATAGGCAGGTACAGGTGAGACGCACCAAGCGGAGCGTTCGCCCCGGTCAAAATTAGTGCGGCCTTGCCCGGCAGCACACCTACAACAGTCAACTACTTCCGCGATTTACAATCGAAAGACAGAGCGATCAACGTCTCTGTAATCTTGTACTACTGGCTCCAGATATACTTGGGTTTGCTTGGCGCAAGTAGCATAGATGGCGTCTTGGAACTACCGTCGAAGAAAAGCGTGCGATGGACAAGTTGAAAGTGCTCTAGGTGACCGAAGGAACTTCAAGCTTATATTGCATGCTACTGTCTCCGAGGATACCTTCTGTCATAAGAACGTGAATGAACGGTTTTCCAACCAGGCCAATTTGTACTTACTCAGGATGCCTCCAGCCTGCCGGTGAGCGGCTGAAGCTGGCACAGCTTGGTGTCGAGGAAAGCGAAACACGCGAGGACGCATACCTTCGACTGTGTCGTCTTCGTCAAATCGCTAAATATCGTGTATAATTTTCTCTGGAGGTAATAATATGTTGCGAATCTAGCGCACGAAAGCTGCCAAACGCGTACGTGACGGCGTTGGTAACGACGTGTGTGACATTGGGTGACAGACGCGACCGTGATAAAATATGTCACATCACGCATGTCTCTGCTCTTTCACGTCCATCCACGAGTCCACCTCTCCTTTGCACCACATGGGAGGAACACATAGGACATCCCATGTTCAACTGCCTCAAGCCCTGTTAACCACGGAGTGATGCGCAGAATCCGACATGGAGGCAGTCTCTTGCTCGCCAAGGGAGCGTCATTGAGCCGGAGCCCAGGTGCGCATCCATACTTACTCCTAACCCACTGCTGTCTGAGAGCCCCGCCAAACGACGCCCGGACGCGTCGCCTTCATGCGCGTCCTGACGTTCTACTGCCCGGTGCTCGAAACCACCACACCCCAGGCCCACTGTTCAAGAAGCCCGTCGGTGCTCGTGCATGCTCGACCTTCGTCCAGGCGTTCGGACAGGAGCTCATGGACTTCGACGTTTTCAAACGATCAAAGAGCGATGCGCCCCCCATCGGACTACAGCCAAGCTATCTCTCCCTTTCCGCGCCCCAGCCGCCCTGAAACTGCTACTCCCTTGAAGTACCGCGTTTCAAGATGCTGGCTTGCAGGCACGACGGTCCTGCACCTACGACGTCACTGACTTTGCACGCTTTTGCAGACGCCAGGGGCGCGCCCGTCCAACCTACACCTCTTGAGCTGCTCCATCGTTCTGGCTCTAACGCGTGGACTGTATGTAGAAATACCTTTTCTTTTTTTTCGTTTCGTTTCTTCTCTTTTCGTTCGCGCCTAGGTCGATGGAGTCTACACTTTGATGGATCCAGAACTTTGATGGATCCAGAAGGGTTCGCCGTCGATATTTGCGCCAACTATTGTACACGCGGGAAACGAACCTTCTCATCTTGGAGCATCCTCACCCCCGTCTACGACTTACAGCACGTCAAGCTTGGCGGCATATAATCTTACCGTAGTGTCTCCGTGTTAATACGTACACACCGAAATACCAACGTTTTTCACACTACGAAGACGGTGTTCTCTCTCATCCCGTGCCATCTCATACCTCCATGAAATAACACTATTATACATCAAAAATCTCTCTGGCCTCCGTCGATCACCAGCCGTGCCTCTCGCGAATCCAAGAAAGCGACAACGTGCTCAGAAAGCAGGAATGACCAGTAATACGGTCGACAATACCCTGCAACGCCGCTCGATAGACCAACGGCGAGGCCACTGCGCAAAGACTACGGTACATCGACAGCGAAAAGGGCGGGTGCGAAAGCGAAAAGAGCGTGCGCGAAACCAAGCCGACAAAAAGCGTGGACGGGAACCAATGCCCGGCTACGCGACAAAGTAGCCCAGGCGGGTAGCGATGGACAGGAAAAAAAAGGACAGAGCCCGCGTCCAGCCCGAGAATCTTGTCCCAAGCCGTCGACGCGCCTCACTGCGACCTCGGTACGAACGCCAATTTACACTCCTTCGCAGCGGGGAACAGCACCTGCCACATTTCCGTCAGCACCTTCATCCCTCAAAACCCCACCGGGCATGAAAAGTACACTTACAAACGCGTCGCGCATGCTCATCGTCCGCTCGTTCGTCTCCCGCACGTCCGCCCGCACCTCGCAGTTGCGCACCACGACGGCGACGACGATGCGCGCCACCAGCTGCGCGAGGTTCTGCCCGCCGCACAGGCGCGTGCCGACGCCGAACGGCATGAAATACTGATGCATCCTGCCGTCCACACGCATCAGCTTTTCCCGTCCTCCATCCGCGGAAACACGGCAAGAACGCACCTCGCGAGCCGCTCCTCCTCGCCCTCGCGCTCCGCGCGCGTGTCCATGAGCCAGCGCTCCGGCAGGAACGTCTCCGCGCTCGGGAAGACGTCCTCGGCCCGGTGCATGCTCCACGCCTGCGTCGCGACGATCGTGCCCGGCGGCAGCGCGTAGCCCATCATGTCGAACTCTTCGTGGCGCGCGGTAGACAGGATGGGCGACACAGAGCGCGACGGCGACGTGTTCCGCGAGCCTGCGCGCGAGTTGGGCTTCGAGCTGGGTTTCGTGAGGTGAGAGGGCCGCGAAGGTGACGAAGGAGAGGGTACAACGCGCTCGAGCAACGACGGCGCAGCACCGTACAGGCGAAGTGCTGTAGACTGTATGAGCATTGTGTACATCGGCTCAGGCTATGGAAGCTTACATTCTTTGATGAAAGCGTTCAGGTATTCGCATTTGTTGAAAACGCTTGCGTCGGGAATGACGCGCGGATCGGGCATAATCTCGTCGATCTCAGCCTGCAGACGCTGCATGACGTCTCGCCGCCGGCTGAGTTCCCAGAACATATACGAGAGCGACGTTGACGAGGTGTCGACCCCAGCAATCCTGCGTACAATACCGTCAGCCAAGTACTAGAAGCATCGCCGATGGAACACACAAATGGCCCATCGCCTCGCTGACAATGTCCCGGTCGATAGCGACGACGTCCTTGTGGTCCTTGTCGCCGGCAGGCGCCTTGGTCACGAGCAGGCGCTGGATGAGCGGCATCTTATGCTCGTCGCCGACATGAGATTCGCTTCCGTTGGGGTATCCGAGTGCCGAGAGGTCGCTCTTCTCCATGTGGTCGAGGGCGGAGGAGACTGAGGTCGGGAAGCACGGGCTGACCGGCGTGGTGAGCGACGCCGCCTGCGTATTGGCCCGCGTCTCGTACAGACGAGAGCCCACAAACTATACCTACGATGAGTGGCGCATCAAAGCAAGCAAGTGGGAGCACGTACCTCGGCTATGATGCTGTCCGAGTTGCATACTTCTCTGAACCTCGCGTTCGGGATCTTTGATACAAGTTTCCAGGCCCAGGTCGGAACAGCGCTTCTCTGGGAAAAGAGACGTTATGTAAGACTTGATGCGTCGGTCAGACGCGGATATAACGCACCATGATACCGCGCTTTGGAAAATCGTAAACTGCAATGCCGAGAGGGTCGCGAGTACCCTTGTTCCAGTTATCAAGCGAGCCTGTGCGTGTGCCAAAGACAGCACAGGCAACGACGTCAATCATAAGGTGTCGGAAGAGATCGAGGACATCGACCGATGACGGGCGGGTCGAGAGGATCTAATATGCTCATGAGCATATTAGGACGGATGCACTGAAAAGGGAACTCACGTCGGTAAGCTTGAGGGCGAGATCGTGCAACTCTGGCTGGAAGAGCGAGAGGTTGGCGGGCGTGTAGTGGGGCGCGTAGCTCTTCTTGCGTATCGCGTGTTCGGCATGAGGGAGGGTCGTCATCGCATGGTCATTGTTGTTTCTGCCCTGGTATCAGCACATGTCCGTGCCCTCGTAAGAGAAAAGAGGGACAGACGTGATAATACTCTTGTAGTACGCGCTCTTGTCGAACTTATGGACGCAATAGACGCTGCGCATCGTACCAGCGTCGCAAAATGCGATCTTGTTCGGGCCGATGCGGACAATAGGACCGTAGGTATCGAAGAGATCCTGTACGGTGCGACATTGGCGCATGCGTACGACGTGGGTGGTGATCCAAAAGCCGGAGACTGCAGCATACCAGGGGCCAGGGATGGAGGCGAGGGGGCTAAGGAAGAGGCGGTAGAAGGCAAGAGAGAGGACGTATGTGGCGAAGAGGGATAGAGCCATCAGGGCAGGTCTCGCGGGGAAAACGGCGCGAAGGGAGGTGGTGGCAAGGTCGCACGCAGACGGGTTGAAGTTGGTCGCGTTCATGGATGCGGTTGCCTGTGCAGTAAGGAGAGTGAGTGGTTGGGTCGGGTACATGGTGAAATTGTATTGGTCGGAAGGATTGTGGGCGGCGCCGACCGCGTGCACAGGCGTGAGGTGCAGGAGCTAGGTGGTGAGAGGAGGAAAGAGACCAGGGGTGCGCTTGAGTCGAGCGTCGTTGAGTATCGTTCGATTTTATGGTCTAGTCGTCGCCGACTTCCATATTGACTTGGTAGCGCGAAGACGGTAACAATTAGGGGACTCGAAGCTTCGGCGTGCCGCCTCCAGTCAACTTGCCTGCCGAATGTAGTAGCTACATTCCCCGTTTCGCGAGAGTCTTCGCGGCGCGTGTGTCCGGCGGAGACACGCGTGATATTTCTGTGGCGTGGCGCGTGTCACCACCCTTGGTAAGCACTCTCCTGGATGCGTCGGGTCTATCCCGCGCCTGTCGATGTCGCCTTGACAGCGGCTCTCGGGCGGAAGACAGGTTTCCAAACTCTGTCAAGGACGATCGCTTGCGCACCCGGACATACCCTATCGGTCAACGTTCGACGATGCCACGTCATGTACCGCATCTGCAAAACGCTTCGATACCTGGCAACAGCCTCAGCAGCTGCCACCAGGCACTGCACATGCCTAGGGATGCTCCGCCACAGACGTTCTCGACCGACCATGATGCGACCGCGCGCATGTAGCGGCCATAGCCCCGCAATATGACGTACGCGTCGCCCAATCGCCGTTGCTCCACGGGCCTGACGAAGTAACTCGCTCTCCACCGCACAGGCGTTGCAGTGCCTGGGACGCGCCACACCTCGCGTCTTGCGCATTTTTTTGTTCCTGCTCGCCTGGATTAATTGCGGTGCCTGTACTGCGGCTTGACGTCTACTAGCCGCTCTGCTCGCGCGCACATATGAACGATCTGCGGTGTTTTACTTCAATAGCTGTCATAACAGTTTCAGAGTCGTCCAAACTGGAACGACATACCCAAAGTGGGTTCGTATACTGATAGCCGGCGCATACTTGGGATGCGCCAACGCAAAGTATTCCACGCCCTGAGCGTGTACATGAATATAGCTGTACAGGCAGTAACAGCACGTTCACTCACCTGAGCTTGTCATCTGACCCGTCGCTTCCGCACTCGCCGCCGTCTACTGATGTTTCCAGCGGCCCGATGGAAATCGGAGGGTGCGCTCGATGAGATGTCCGCGCGGCAGGACCTGCAGTGTTTCTATGTCATTTGCGCGCCCGCACCACACGGACATCACTCGTACCGTCGTCTGCAAAATTCGTCCCTCGTACCACAACATAAATGCGCACGCGTCTACAGGAGGCGAGACACGTCAGCACGCGCGCATAGCCATACGCATCCATGCAACACATACACCTCGACCGCGTCGCCACGCTCTCAAATCGCTCCGATGTCCCGTCTTGCTCCTCCAACGACTCGGAGAGCACCCGGCCTCAGCTTGTTGCTCATAGGCGCGTGGTTTATTCGCAGGAAGCGCTCCGGGGAGAGTTCTGGCTCTCATGCACCATTACGTTGTCAGCCGTTGCGCGTCCGAGGTCCGAGAAGCTGCTCTCTGTCGGACCTCATAGCCGTATGGCGGGTCAGGGATCTGCTGATGTTGGCGCTCGCGAATTAAAATGGCGCGCGTCCGCTTGGTAATATGCAGAGATTATGCGCGAAAAAACTGGATTCGGACTGATGCAGGCTAAAGCCTGGAGAAGGAGAAGGAGACATAAAGGCGAGATATTTGAGAACAACAGTAAAAACGATTTATAGACAACACAGGGTGGTAAGCGCAGTTTTTTCTTGAGAAAACTCAGGCAAAAGCGACTAAACAAGGCCCAGTTATTCCTCGATTCTACGCCGATGCAAACTGAGGAGAAACTGGTGCAAAACCAGCCAAAATGGTCTAAAACACGGTAAAACTGGCGGAAAACTGAGTTTTGCCTTCGGTTTTTTTAGGTGAAAACCGGAGAAAGTTGGGGCTTTGTTCAATCAGTTTTTGGCCAATTTTACGCCGGAAAAAAGCGCGCTTACCACCCAGTGCAACGGTCCGTTGTCCCGTACGCTGACAATGGACGTCGTCTGTAATTCCGACACGGGGAATCGAACTCCGGGCTATCGCGTGAGAGGCAATAATGTTAGCCACTACACCATATCGGATATATTTGATGAAAACAACTTAGCCAATAGCACACAATGAATAGCAGTTCGCCATGCTTCATTTTTTAAGCTGGGCAACGCACAAACGGACGATAGATGCAAAGACGGCTATCATATCGAACTATCATAGAGCGTCCGAGTGCCCTTGGCTACAACAAGCAACCATATGGGCAAGTTCAGAGGCCCTGGAATCATAGCCTGAACTGTTGGTTGCGTCGTTACAATGTGTTCATATCAGGATCGTTGCCAGCATGTCCAAGAACTGCTGATGCTCGTTGGCCGAGCCTACTCCCGAAATTGCACTTTGTACGCAATTTCTGACCTTTGTTATCATCAGCTAGTATGTATCAGCCTTGTCAGATTGCCACACTGGTGCCATGGGTAGAATGGGCTCGCTCTTATGTTCGGCTTAGCGGGACGTCCTTATCCCCCTCCCCCCTTTGCAGTCATCTTGGCAATGATACCTCCTCCACAAACAATGTCAACTGTTGCGTATAATCCTTCGGAAGTGTCTAGCAATCTAGGATCGGACATCTACAACGCGAATGTGTTTGCTGGGCTTATTGGAACGTATGTATTGCGATCTCTTGTGACCATTGTGCTTGAAATGCTTTTCTTCGGTGCGTGTTCTATCTGTGTGCTTATGCCTTGCTGAACAACAGCAGGCATGTACACGATGCTCGTGGTCTTCTGGGCCGTGATGTTCATGTAAGTCGCAGCATAGCATGAATCTAGTGCCATGCTAATCAGCGCATTCCAGCCGGTCGTCTCTGCCTCTCACGTAGAAGAGATCTGTGTTACTTGCAATCTGCATCACCATGTACATGGCGGCAGCGGCGCACCTTGGCATTACACTCTTTTGTCTCTCTCTAAACGATAGCCGATTGCATAAGCTTCAGGCACAGACGTTCCTGTGCCTCAGCGATGTTGGTGAGCTCAGCCAAGAGCTTAACAGCCAGGGTGGGTCAGCCCTGGAACTTTGTTCTACTGCAGAGATTCCAGACAGCTCCTGGCACTCTGCTCTCATGGAAGTGAGCTAGGAACTATTCGCGCTGCTGTCCACCAACGTAAGCTATCCTTTCCGAGTCTGCTGATATTTGCAGAAAGTTGCTCAATGTCCACCTGCTGGGCAGATAGCGCTAAGCGACCTGGTGGTACTCTGGAGAGCCTGGGTGCTCTGGCCCTGTCGAACCATTTTACAGACCATGTCTGTGATTTTAATTTTCGCTACGATCTGTAGGCAGATTTATTTTGCTGCAAGGCAACGGCACTGACAACCGTGGTGTTAGCTATGCTCATTTAGGGCACGTCTCTCAATAGCAACTTTGAGGATGTCGTCTCCTCCGGTGCAATCATAACGTCATGGCTGACCAATTTCTTGGCAACGGGATTGGTAGCTTGCATGACATGGTAAGTGCTTCGAAGTTACGCCCAGTTTGGTCTGAAGTGAACGCAACGGCGGCGTGCAAACAGGCAGCATCGGCAAGAGATCGTGCGCCACCTCCGAGCCAGCCTTTGCACACGCGCAGAAACTATCCTCTTTCTTCTTATAGGGTCTGGAGTGCTCCACACTGCCCTCTGGGTGAGCATGCCTTTCGCACACCCAGTGCCCCATCCGCTTACGCTGTGGCGCTGTTACACTGAGCTCACCACTCTAGATAGACCTTCCTCATGGCGGACACTGTTGTCATCCTCAAAGGGCTCGGTGCCGGATTCACAACTGGCGCCGCAAACTTCAAGAGTGGAACACAGGCCCTCAAGTCGAGTTTCCTCATTGACCTCGTGGTACGTCCTCGCCTGGGCGTCTATCTTCCGTCGCGATCTCACAGGAGCCTCCGCTAGGGCATGTACCCCACAGCGGTGATGATGATGTTGGAGATGTCAAACCACTATGCGCAGCGCACGCTGTGCATGGATGACATGCCTACACTCTTGCCTCTGTCTGTGCCTTCCAATCTGGCGTGAGCGGGGCCCGATTGAATGTCCGATATAGTATTACTTGCTGTAGCGGCGACATTGGCGAAAACTGCGCCGCAGTGCACTGTGCACCGCATCTATGTTTAACATGCTCCAGCTCACAGGGAAATGGCCTTCCTCGAAGCACAAGTATACCATAAGAATGAATCTACGGTGCGCGCGTCGTGCAACTGCTGCTTAGCGTAAGATCGAGTCGTAATAAAATGTATACGTGGTGCATCTGGAGACCATGTCCATTGTGCTGTTAGCATTCCCAACCTACGCTCCTGCAATAGCTTCAACAGAACTCTTAGTGTCGAGGTCAGTAAAGACGGTCTTCAGAACTTGCTATAATCGAGGCTGGTTCCGATACTAGTGGCTGGCACATATTGCTATGTAGAGGATCACGAGATGCAGTGCCTCAGTTCACCCGACCATGGTGGCTTTAAACAGTAGTACGCAGATACGTAGTCGCTTTCAGGTGCGAAAAGAAGGAGTCAGAGGGGCAAACGCAACGTTTCAGACAGACAAAATGCCGCAGTTGAAGATCTGGAGAAAGCGCCAGCCTCCGAGAGAGGCAATTTGGTCAAAGAAAGCAGACAGCGAGGGTTCTTTCCAGGTGGCCGCTCAAGGGTCGGTCAGGGTGAAAGATGGAAGGGGAATGGGAAATGGCTCTACGGATCCATGTGCGTTGAACGGCGGCCGCGCCCTCCAGCATCTGCGCCCTCTTGCACCGTAAACCAATCTAGTCTGCATGTCAGGCAAAGAGAATTCAATGGTGGAGAAGCCCCTGAAGAGGGCCATCCAGCATTCCTAGCGACTCAAACTTGGTGCAGATAGTGGCAGGTTTATCAAGTTGTTGGTTGGTAACCAGCATCTGTCTGAGTGCCTGGTGCTTGCTGGATCACTGATATGGCTCTTTGACAGCTTTGATGTGCTTGAACTCAGTGATAGACAAGCAGAGTCTGTTCAGTGCTCCAAACAGCTGGATCAATTGTTGATAGTGGACAAGGGACTGCTAGTGCAGTAGAGAGAAGCCTTTGGGTCATACACCTTGCTTTTCAAATATGACCCATTCAGCATGGAACCGACTGAGGGCGCTATCAAGCTCCACCAGTGTGTTTTCCGTGATGACGTCCCATTGCGCTAGGTAGCAAAACTCCAGAAAGGCGCTGAAAGTTCGCACCATCTGTGACAGAACATGCCCTGCAATTGCTGAGAGATAGATCTGTAAACAGTAATATTACGATCAGGTCACTGGTCATGGTACGTGCCTGGACGCGCTCACCTTCATTAACACCTTTGAATCGTCACCGGTCTATTGTTTGAACCCATGTCCTTATGAAAAACATCGTGAGCCAGGAAAGCTGGGAGCGGACGCAATACTGCGTACAGCCTGTGAGTGTGCACATGTAGAACTTGAACTTATATGTGCTCACCGATGATCAATGTCCACCATGATCTCTGCCACGCCTGCTTTGCCATGCTCCTCAATAAGGTATAGCTCAACCCAAGTGACCAGGTGATCCTTGAATGTTCCCTTGATCACTTGGTGGAGTAGGTCCAGTGATAGCAGCTTGTGAATGTCTGCTCATGGAAAGCCAACCACGAACAGCTACATTGAGAGCATCAGAAAGACGCAAAGATGTGCACAAAGTCAATAGGCGTACCACAAGATTGCCCACAATGTCTTGATGTCGAACGCCTTCAGAAAGAGCTTGGTATGGTCATGCCACCATGTAACTCCACCACCATCGAGATTATGAGGTGTCGCCACACATCTAATGCCAGACCAGGCCAATAAGACTGCCATTTCCGAGATGGTATGGCAAAAACAAACCTAGGACACCATTCTTGAACTATGCAAGCAAGCAAAGCTTGCTCTGGGTAATCTGCAATATATGGGCCAAGGCCATAGACAACATTCAGCGGAACTTGCAAAAACATGGGTCATCTTGATATTGGCAATCTGCTATTATAAGGATCAGGTAAGCAGTCTACTAACAATGAGCAAACAGCCATGCTACTGACTCTTTGATATTGCAAGAAATGCGACAAGGTAGACAGCATTTTGCCGTGCTTGTCGTGTACTGTTGTGCACAATGCCAGGAGACATGTACAATGGATAGTACTCATTCTGCCCTGTGGCAACAGAGAAATACTGTTGTGCACAATGCCAGGAGACATGTACAATGGATAGTACTCATTCTGCCCTGTGGCAACAGAGAAAGTAGTTTTGTCGCTATCAAGAATAAACAGGCAGAAAATTGTGCCGTGAGTGGATGGATCTTCTGCAATGATATCCTGTCAAGTTCTGGTAGGTGAATTCTGTATGTGCAGGACAGAACATTGACACGTTCTGCTTGCTTCCATGCCCAGTTTTCTGACATGAAGTCCTTATACTCTCTTTTATTCTGCTTTCTAAAAACTTGCTTTGGCGCAAAGTCCATCTTGTGTGCAAAATCTGGGTTGCCAAGCATATTGTGCCCCAGCTTGCATGGGCAGCGAAATTATATGTTGTACTCTCGTGCCATTCAAGATGGAGTGTTGTCTTCAGGAACAGCACCATTGAACAATGCAGAGAACAACTGCCATGGTATATTCCCATCCTTGATCTCGTTGGTGGTCGCATGAAGATCATTGTGATCAGTGAATAGTGGTTTGATATCTGCTGGTAATGTGTCGGCCCATAGCTCCATGAGTTTGTCAACTTTGCCTGCAGACATTTGCATCTTTCGATAGAGGAAATTGGCCACCTCAAACTGAGTGCAACTCCCAAACAGTGTGAAGTCATCGGGGGTGCGAGATGAATGAAGAGGTGGAGGTGTACTGTTGGCTAGGAAGTTACCATCTTTATTGCAAGGACGACCTTAAAACATTCATTGGTGAGTGTACAAGTTACAGCATGGAATTTCAGCACTAACCATGGAGATAGGGGTGATATAGAGTATAGGATGTGCCGGAAAGAGACAGTGGTGTTGGCGAATAGAAACCATAGTGTTCAGTGGTATTAGAACCTTCATGAGATGACTCGCCAGTTGGACCATGTCTTGCAAGGGGGGAGGAAGAACATTGATGGCGCAGCCATGGAGGAGAAAGATTATGTGAGCTGATATGACGTGAAAGCGCAGAACATTCAGAGAAACGCTCGCGGCAATGGAGAAGAGAACAGGGAAGAATACGGGGATTGAACAATGCACGAGGCATGCTCCTAAGTTGATTACAGACTCAGTGAGGCAGTAGTGAATGAAAATAGAAAGTCGCACCAACAGTCACGATAAAGGCTGTGCTGGTGATCATAAGAGATCAAGCTAAATGTGGAGCTGAGTCAGCAGGCTTCCTCTCGCTCGAAGTGCCTGACTCACTTGCCACGTCAGCTCCCAGGCCTTAATCCTCTGTATTCTTTCCAGCCTTGTGTCACAGTCATGCCACCTTGATGGAGGAAGAACTTGCTTCAGAAGTCTGTAGAAGATACCAGCCGAATGAAGATCCATGCATCTAACAAGAACTGGAAGCTGGGAAAGCCCGACATGCCTGGTTCTTGTTTTTCCACACAAGAAGTGCAAGCTGACCATCAGGCAGAAGCCACAGGGCAGGCCGCACAAGCTCATGAGCAGGAGAAGGTGGTGGAAAATTTAGCAGCTAAGGAAGATACCCAAGCTTGTCAAGATTTACAAAATGACATCAAAGCTGATCACCCACCCATGCAGACACTTGACAAAGTCCAAAAGGGCACATCGGTTGGTTGACAGGCCAGTAGGTCAACAACAACTAAGTCCGCTCCAAAGTATCCTAAGGAGTCTAGTGAGTGCCATGGCGCGTGAATGATAAGCTTTCTGCCACTTACCTCAAGCAGCTCTCGAGAGTGATCATGACAATGAACGGCATATTGCTGAAGTCGTCAAGTCAGAAGGCTCTAGAGGTGATTCCTACAAGCAACCAGACCACAAGAATAACTTGGAGGCTGATAAAGATTGGGACATGGTTATGGACAATGAAAATGATCTTGAGGTGATACAACCAGCAAAGAAGAGGGCTGGCAAGGTGAAAAAGAGTTGCAAAGATGTTGAGGCTTTGAGAAAAGAGGGTGATCAAGCAAGTTCTCCTGCTTTGGGAACTCAGAGAATGATGACATCAAATGTTGATACGTTGGTCCATTCCTCCCTTATTAAGCTTCCACACTGACGCCACTCTTTTCTGCAGAGGTCGAACTGTCAAGAAGATCAAGAAAGCTACGATTGGTGGGCTCACCAGTGAGTGGCTTGAAACCCACACCATGTTGAAGACAAACTTCAAGGCAAAGCCCCGCTCTGCACCAAATGGCCCGTCCAATGCTGCCTCAATCTCCGAGTTGCACAATGACGATGCCAACATCTCCATCAATGAAAACGGTGGTATTGATGATGACCAGAGCAAGGAGAGAGAGCGCAGCACACTTGAGAAAATGTCATCTCGGGCAACAGCTGACCTGAGCACAGCTCGTTATGATGAGCGCGCATCTGCTGATGCAGCAAAAGTGTGTCCTTCATTACTTGTTGTCCACCCTATCAGGCTAGTGAACTCGAAACAGACAGCTCTTCTTGTCAAGATCAACATGCTATCTGCAGAACATGCTGCCAAGAAAGGCCACAAGAACTGGGCAAAAGTCAGCGCTCTCGCACCACAGATCAGTGGGCTCTTTGGTGAGATGCTCAGACCACTCATTAAGGAGCTTGCAGATACAAATGGTGCTTGGATGGCCTTCAGCGTCACTGAAGGCAAAGGACTCCTCGAGTGTGTGATGGGTGACAAGGCTAAGGAGTACACTATTGTTGAGAATGACATGTTCATGTGACTTGTAGGCCCTCCAATCCTTGCCTTTGTATATTGTTTGCAGGCTCTAACACAATCACTAGATTATGTCCTGCATTAGTACCTGGAGAAATAGGCTTGCAACCGCCACAGAAGAAGCCATCAAAGACATGCTCGAAGGCGATCTGAACCTTGATTCCAAGAAGAAAACTGCCTCATTTGTCGCATACCTTCTTGGTGATGAAGACAAGAAGGTGCTGTTCTACTACAAAACCTGGGGTGGCAGTGAACATCGATCAGTAAGATGTCAATCACTGGTTGCGGCATCAAGTTTTAAACTCAGTGTTGAGTCTAGGGCCGCTTCCGCCATCTGCTCATTCTTGCCATTTACGCCTATCATATTTCCACCATGCTCAAGCCTACTCTTAACATGGGCCATGACTTAGAACATTTGCATGGTGCACTTATCCACAGCATCCAGGCAGTGCGTGAGGCGATGGACCATGTTTGATTAATCATGTGGTAGTAACTACTACGGTGTGCGATGTATTACCTACTAGTAACCGAGCTAGCAACTGCGTAGGGCCTGTAAAGCCTGTCCGGCACCTCTCAGCATGCTATATATGGTGCTTCCATCAACTGAGCTTGAAAATAGGCTGCATATGTAATATACCGCTTAATTGAAAAGATGACTAAGCTAAAACATCATCCCAATATGGTAAAGCATCTCAAAACATATGATATGTTTTGAACATACCACATGTTAAATGTTTTTGCATCATGTCATGGAGAACACATGTACAAACAAGTTCTCCATTGGTAAGCAGCTCAGCAAAGCAGTATTTGGGCTATTATTCACAAAAAACTCGCTAGGAGCTAGCGAGTTTTTGGATATATATGGTAGCGCTCCCGGATTTGAAATAAGCGCCAGAGCGCGAGAAACCAGCTTCTACAAGCTATTACACCTACTCCCCTTCCTTCCCCCCTCATAGAATTGTCAGGGCAAGTGTTAGAATAGGTTCTAGTATACTTGTGTGGTGTATATCTTAACCCTCATGTCTTCCTGTGGTGTATACATTATAATAGGTAATAAATAAGCTTTAAAGTGAAAAAGGGCACCAGAAACAAATGGTCCTGTACCTTGTATAGAGCTTGGAAGAAAGTAGGATGGCTCTAGAAATATCTATACATGTTATGCAAGCATGGAGAAGCAATTTAGAGGCCAGGATAACATGCAGAGATGCAGGCAGGAGGTCAGAACTCTTATTGCACTCATGATAGCTTGGACACTGTTCTCAGCCTTTAGTAATGAATGTAGCTAGATACAAATGGTTGTGCGGATGCCCTAGCACTAGTAAATAATATATGCAGCTCTGTGGAGCCTTATCACACTGGGAAGGGGCTAACCTACACTCAACAACATGGGTATGCAAACAGGGCTTAAAAACACCACATATGCAGATGTACAGAAGCCTACAGGCAGAGATAAGCTAAATGCAGCTACATACATAGTTTTCTGACATATTCTGACCTTCTCAGGTGGTGATCCCTTTCCCACCCATGCTGTAGGAACCAGGCACACACCTGTGCACAGATGGTGGTTTTGAACTGGTCAGAACTTCATCAAGGTGTCACTCCGGGGTTAACGGATGCACTGCTCCACCAATACATGTTCCCTGGACCTAGAAAGTTATATACCCCCATTTCGATAGGCTGGAAATCGATTGGAAACAATCTGCTCATCCGATTCTAAGTGGTTGAGCCAGTAGGAGGTGTTTTCGACGAGATCAGCAGATAGGCGCCCATAGAAAACACTAAGATCTGCTTAATCGGACGGCTTCCAAGGTCTGGGATCGAAAATGAACCATAGCCGTCCTATCCTGGGCTAAAAGCGACACCTTCCAGCATATGAAAACATCTGATATGTGTCATTTTATTTGCCAAGCCTCGCAGGCTCTACAGAGAGTTTGTGGATGCCTCAGGCTCCCCACACCCTTGGGAAGGGTTCTAGTGCCATCTATCATGAGTGTATAATATTAGAAGAGCTGTAGGAGCTTTGCGAAGGGTTTTCTGCTACTTTCAGGCCTAAAGAAATCGATTTTTAATAGAAACAAAAGTATAGTATACTATACAGCGGTTATATTCACTCTAAACTGCACATAACTACTCTACATAGGTACAGGTATATATGCCAGAAGGTTTGGAGTTCATTGGACAAAGGGGAGGGGAGGAATTGAGCCAAGAATGGCCCCAAAAAGCGAAATTGATGTAGGGAGCCAGATAGCCGGGTAGCAGCTTGGTGGCACTTGATGGAGCTGATGGGGCTTAAGTCCGCGCTACATCCGCAAAAACTCGACTCTCGGCGAGTATTTTGTGAATAGCAGGCTCAATATTGGTTTTTGACATATGTTTAGTATAGCAAATATGTTCAAACATATGTTCTCCACCTTCCCATGTCATAAAACAAAAACAAGCACCCAAAGCAGTATGTTATGACATGTCTCCCAAATGTGGTCTATATTTCAATCTCAGTTGATGGAAACACTATATATAGCATGCCAAGAGGTGCCAGAGAGGCTCTATAGGCCCTACGCAGTTGCTAGCTCAGTTACTAGTAAGTAATACATCGCACACCATAGTAGTTACTGCCACATGATTAATCAAACATGCACCAAAGGGTGAGTGCGTGCACTACTGTATTTAAGATATGCTGTCTCACGGCAACTCTGCCCACCTGCAGGTTCATTGAGCGCTGCGCTTCTGGAAAACAGGGTCATTTGTCAAGCCCAAAGACCATGCCTCACATTACTTGGCAGACAACTGGGGCAATACCAAGTACATGCAGAATACTGGAAACGGCAAGTTTACGCTCATCGATAACAAGCATGCTTCAAAGTGGAACCTCCCTGTGGGCAAGCTGACAGATGGGGACTGGGACGAGCTCTGAAATGAAGCAGTGTGGTATGTCAAAAGTAACAATGTCGAGGTTGATATACCCGATGTTGCGACAGAGGTTCTGAGCAGTGGTACTGACGACTTCGACCTCAACTCCAACAAGTGGAAAAGCAAGGACAAATCAAAGAATGCGCAGTGAGATGGTGTGGCCACTGGTGCATGGACTGTTGGTGTTTCGATTGTAGTTGGTACGATGGCGGCCGGCCTACTCAGTGCTGTACTGGCCGGCGTCATGGTGACTGGTGTCCCAGTTCCTTGCAATTGTGTGAACTGTTTGTTGTATACCTCTGTCTACTACCCCAGGCCATACTAGAATACATGCCAGTTGCATTGCTCTTCCATTTACTGCTTCTGGTGTGGCCCAAGGACAGCGCTGCTGCTGGCCAGGCTACCTTTTTGATGTCTTTTCACTTGTCTTACCAAGTGACTTCTTGGTCTTTCTCAGTGTCTTATATGACTCTTGGTAAGTCCATCTGACTTCCAGAAGTCAGGTACATGGCTTCCGGAAGACACATGTACTTATGTACTTTTTCATGCTTTTTGGTCTTTTCTGACTTCTCATAAGTCCGAAAAGACACCATGCAATCTTACTGATGTCGCTGATAGCCATCTAGATTTGTCATAGACTGTAAGTATTAATGAGCATGCCAAAATGAGCTGAGGGTACGTACACTAGGGACAAGAAGCCTCAGAAGTGCTCAACTCAACTCGGCTGGGATGGCAGCAACCAGAGAATCGATACAACTCGAAAATATCCGTGCACCACTTGCGAGAAAGCCAAGGCACTGTTTCAGTAGCACCAGCCTGTCTTTTGCAGACAGGTTGATTCTGTAGGCATCTCCTACACTCAGAACAAAGTGTACTGCAGCAATGAGATACATCAGAATGCATAAACATCTGATCCATTTCTTGAAGTTAGTTACTTTGTGTTTACGTCTGTGTAGTGTATGGCATGTAAGCCCAAATGCAAAGCGTGGCGGCATATACACACTTGAGGACAGATACGACGGCGCCCACTAACATGGTGTGTATGCCTGTGACACTTTAGATGCTGCACAGATAGAGGATAGCCGGCTGCATACCGAATAACACAAGCTCAATTGTGAAGTATGGCAGTAGGACAGAGACAGCCGACACATCTGAGAGAATATCTTGGACGACAGCTGTAAGAGACTCTAGCTCCTATGTTGTTAGGTTTGGCATTGATGCGATTGAGGGGCATGAGCAGTCTGGTGCTTGAACAAGCAGTGCAGACATAAATGTTATATAGCGCCGCTGTAGGGAAGTATGCCATTGTCAATATGCTGTCTAGTGTGGAAACATCTTCTATCACTTACGCCACTGCTTGTGGCAAATTCCGAGATATCAAAGCCTTTGTTTTCCTGATGGGGTACTGTAAGATCTCAGGGTGAGATATCCCCTGACAACATGTTCAAATCTCGCTTCTAGTACACAGCAAGCTCCAGGTGAAAGCCTACAAAGACGCTGCAGAGTAGATAGAAGCCAGTCTCTTGAAATGAATTCCTAAAGCAGCACATGGGCAGTCAACCTGGAATTTTGGGAAACAATTAGACATCAAACTTGCATCAAAATTATGGATGCAGAAGCGTTGAACAAGATTGGAACATCTCCAGCAACATATTATCAGTGTACTTATGGCAGCCCTAGATTTGATTACTGTGGCACAAGCACAGCCCAGATCCAGAGCCCGTTGAACCACTAGTAACAAGCCCAAGGCAGCCTGTGGTACACAACTGAGGGAAGAAGTTGGACAGTTTGATATATCATGGTGGCACTAGATGCTGGATAAAGTGCAAGTGTATAAACATGCACAAGCTCGATGTGATATAAGACATAGGAACTGACCAGACACAAACAGCTTAATTGGTTTGTAAATTTACTTGCTGCGCATTCAGTACGTGTAGAGGCCGGACAAAACGGCACAGCGTACACAATATGCAGAGGGCTGTATGTGTCTCGGGGCAAGTGCTATCTGTTTCAGTGCAATTAGTGTTTAAAGTTTGAATGACTGGCTCGGAGAAGGCAGAATAAGCAGTACAGATGACTCGGAGGTTGCGGTGGGCAGGAAACAGTTGGCGTCGAACTGAACGCTAGTATGAAATCAGGTGCCAGATAAAGAGATTAGTACATGCTGTTTGGTAGAAGAGATTGCTCTTTCACTCCGTTGCTCTGGAGGTGTGCCAAAGCTCATCAGTAAAATGACAGCCCGTCTTTTCGGTCTTTTACAAGAGGAAAAGACGCGAAAATACGAGAAAGTCCAAAAGACTAGCCCATCTACTAAACACCATGTCGCCTGTCGTAGAAAAGACACTGGGTCTTTTGAAAGTCAGAAAAAGACACATAAAAGACATACCAAAAGACATGGATTCTCAGCCCGTTCTCGCTTGTATATCCTTAAGAGAGTATATAAGAAGTATATTGTTATTGCTAAGCAGATATACAAGACTAGATAGCAGATACAAGCCGTGCAGGTGGCAAGGACATTTACCGGTGACTGTGCCGGCGCCACAACTCCCCATGCTCACTGACATTCAACAGCCCACTGGACTCATGCTCAGCAAATTGCTGCCATGTGAACTACTATTGAATATTGTTGCTCCATCTGTGCATGCATCCTTACAGAAAGTTCTTTCATTAAAACTCATCTGGCAGTGTGGTAGTGCATACACTAAGGCTAGAACTGTGCAGCACACTCACAATATGCATCCAAGTGTGTCTCATGCATAATAGCTGCAAGAACGTGCACACGGTGGTGCACCCAAATGGTGGTCTTGACATTACAGCACAGGTGTTCTACATAGCCGGATGTTGAGTGGCAAGTGCAAGGGAGTTGTCAATGATCAGAGACCTGTACCAAGTCGTGAGATCACAGACATGTAAGCTGTTGATTTGATAGATGTACTGCACCATTGTCCAGGTACAGAGTGTGACTCGTGGGCTTCTTCGTGTCAGCACATCACCACAGCCTTGCCTATGCAACTGGCTTGGACAAGGTGCGCTCAAGCTACAAATGACAATGAATAAGATCATATCATGCACTTGCAGATGTTTCATACACTCTCCATTGCTTGATCTGAGCCGATAATGTGTCGCACCTCCGATCCCATATAGTGGCAGCTGGGACATACCTGCTGGGTTTAATTTGGCACTGCTAGGGGGCGGTGGTTACTGCAATCAGCTTTCCTGCATGTTTACAAGTATCAAGGTCCAGGCATTGCAGATAAAGGCACAAAGTCTGGGATAGGAGGTGGTGGTTGCAGGGAGAATGGGACTTAACGCTCATTGATTAAGTCAAGCCTGACGACTGGAGTAAGCCAGATAGGCGTCTTGTAGCTCGCAGAACAAGCGCCTGCAGGAGCCGTCATTGTCGTGGCATTGTTTTTGCCCTCTTATGGTACTCAAGATGGATCTCTGCTACGCTCCGTAGACTAAAGGCAACATTAAAGTAATCAGTCGTGCATATATGCATATTCTTACAGCCTAACTTGGTCTGCCAAAAGTACCAAAAAAGATGACAGAAAAGACCACAAAATGACTACAAAAAGATGGGCCCAACAAGGCAAAGTACGGTAGAAAAGACACAAGCTCCTGAAAGTCGCAAAAGACACTTTGTCATTTTACTGATGCTCTTGAACAATGATCCTATCTCTATGCGGCACAGCAAGCTTGCACACTGCGTCGTTAAGCACGACCTTGTTATCATGCTCAATCCTCTTCAGCATTCACGCACCGGGCGTCACATATCAACTTTGCGCATGAAATGGCGCCGTTCTGACTCCTGTTACTAAAGGAGCACAATGCCCAATATATCATCTCTGAGCGAGTTCTCGCACTACAGCAGCGCAGCGCACCAAACACTAGTGGCGGCTTGACACGCTACTGTTCGCAGATCATTAGCGTACAAATGTGCTCAGTTTGTTGTCTGGATACAAACTGACATGATCAGCATCCGTGGCAAAGTCTACATCAAGGGCCGGACTCAATACACTTGACCAAAGGTGCTGATAACAGCCTGATCGCTGAGACGCTGCGGGTTCTTAGACTTGCCTACTTTGAGAGTGGGGGCAGCGTGTTGCGTGCCTGTTTGACTTAAGGTGTTGGGCGTTGCACATGACAAATGCAATGATGCACTAACTTCTGGGCTTACTCTTGGGATATCGTGCAAACTGCTAGCAGGTAGTTACTTGTTACCCGGTCTTGTTAGCGATAAGATAGCTTTGTACTGCACGTAATATATTTTGGGGGTACAAGATTATGGTTCAGCTTTGAACACTGCGTGATAGGGAAATGGAGACTAAGACAGGATCCACCACCTCTTTCACTGAATCTTCCGCTCCAGTACCGAAGCTTGATCTCGGCATTATCATATCAGCAGAAAGTACGTCAATATCTGGGTGTACATGGACAGCAGCCAACTGAGGAGCGCACACACTTGCAAGCACAAGTGTGCGGTTGTAATATGAGTCCGCGTGCCTGACGAGGATAACTGTCACTGTTGGATACAGACTCTGCAAGATTCAGGAGTAAGATTGTGGGTAAGAAGCATTGTGTAACTGGACCGCGTGCTTACAACGAATTGGATCAGGCAAAATGTTACAATAAAATTGACAAAATCGCTGAGTCCTATAAACTCAGGACGGGCCGAAAGGCTTGTGGCTCCCATCCCAACCATGATGCAGCTGGATATTGCAACAAACATCTGGCAAGCAATGTTTGGTGAATATATAATCGTACTGTGCAAAATCATATTGTACTCACCCACAACATCGAATACAGGAGACCGGACTCAACAAAAAGAAGGAGAGCCTTCTCTGCTCTTGAGCGCGACCTCCCGCGGCTCATGTATGCTCTCATCAACCGACGATGTTGCCTGTACAATCAAGCTCACGACTCCGCGACGACAAAACTACTGCACACGCACCATGCCTTCCATGATACGAGCATTGTCGACCACAAGTTTGTCACCCACGAAAATATGATTCCGGGGAGGCCAACGGGGCTGATAATCTGAACGGGAGCTTGGATAGCACCGAATACCAATAAACCTGCGTGCAAGATAAATAGATGACCCTTGTCAAGTCGAACATGGCCATACCTAGGGTGCTAAGAAGTAGCAGTCCCGATATGGTCTGGACAACGCGATGGCACGGCCAGAGCACCCAAGCTCTCCAAATGACAATAATATCGCTGATGGCCATCTGGATAAATTATACCCGGGCTTATCAATGCTTAGTCCAGATCTCGATAAAGGAACTCACGTTTATGATGAGAAGCTTAGTAAGTGCGAACGGCAGATATGGCAGAAGCCATGGCGTGTTGTCTTCTATCAAACCTGTGATGTCGCAGCTCGGAAGGGTGTCCAGGCAATGCGCCAGCAGTGTCCGCTCATTTTGCACAGACTGGATGTCCCCACGAACATAACACACACTGACAATAAAGTGTGCCGCAGAGCAGATGTACATGATAATGCACGGGTAACCGACCCAGTTCTTGAAGCCGACCGGGCTGCGCTTGCGTCTGAGCAGTGTACTGCGTGTAAGATCGAGAGATACCGGGATGACGCCAGGTACTTACGTGAGATCGTATATCATAGTGCCTGTCAACATGGTATGTACTCCTGCGGCATGTGAGACGCTGCACATATCAAGTACAGCAAGCGGCGCACCGAAGAGCACAGACCCAACAGCGAAGTATGGTGTTACAATGGACGCGGCGGATGACGAGAGGAGGGCCAACTGCTCGTGTAGCGACAAGCCGGACATTGAGGGCAACCAAAGGGTGGGACGCGGCGAGAGTATCTGGAAGACTCACAGAGTAAGGACGGCCCACACGCTATATACATTTAAAAAGTATCACCGCCATCATGATGAACTTCGAAGGAAATGCTTTCTATCGCCTAGATGATAGATCTGAGTTTCGCTACTTGCGGCAGTCCATCAGTTCCTGATGAAAACTAATGAGGGCATCGGGCTCACGCGAAAGAGATTTAATGCTAGGGACGACGAGGTTTGGGCAGCATACAAGGGGTGACAAGATTCTACGCGAGATTGTTGAGACTAATCTCTGCAGCTGACTGCAGCCGGCTGTTTCGTCATGAAGATAGATCCATGAGAGCCCGAGGAGTGAATAGTTAGATATCATGATGGGATGTCAGTCTGGATAGGCGCAATCAGTACAGCTTGTGTCGGGGCCAAGGAAGAACGTGCTCGCCAGAAACCTAGATATCGAGACATTCAGTCTTCCTAGCCGAGCACGTCGACCGGTAAGGCAGCCAGAGGTGACATGCAACACTGACAACCCGGAGAGTGTTTTGATATCAAACATAATAGTTATGGTACATATGAACACACGCGCAGAGGCGCACGGTGCGATATGCGACGCGATAGGGGCTAAGCATGGGCCCTATGATATTGCGTAAAGTCCATACGACAAAGCAGGTATACCGCGGTACGGGAAGTAGGCATAATGTCCATTCCAATCCTCGGTCTGCCACGAGATAGCGTCACTGGATATAGCGCTGTAAGATCGTATTGCCATAGGAGTAAGATGAAAGACTTTATACCTCGTATCCACACGGTGCTACAACGGCGTGCTCGGCGCCATCGAGTGTGATAGTAGTGAACTCCCATTCTGGGTCCGCAGGCGCACTGCTCGCGCCCACCGGTGTGCCTATGTCGCGGGCTAAGACACGCTGTGAGATACGGAGTAAGTTGAGTGCAAGGCAGACATTCCAGGAGGGATACTAGGACTTACATGTGGGTACCGCTCTCGGACGACCGCCGCACAAGGGTCTTCATGTGCTCTACCTCGTTCATGCTCAAGCTTTCCGAGCACACTCGGAAGACGTTGCGTTTGCCGCTGCGCAAGTCCATAGAATACTCGTCCATGAAGATGTGCGACCGACGAGACAACGTGCAGATCGTCGAGCCCGTGCACGTCACCCGGCCAATATCGGCGCTTCACGGGCGCTTTGAAAGGGGAAAGGACTTGCTCTTCGACGCAAGTGAAGGACGGAAAAACGAGGGATCCTTCTTGGTATGTGTCTTTGCGGTAGATTTTCTTGAATCCCTGTCAGTCTTAGTGCCCGCGTAAGAGATGCGAGGAGACTTCGAGATCCCAACGGACGCACCAGCTTTCGCACGTCTTGCTGCAATACACTGGTTATAGCTGCAGAGGACGCTTGCCTAAACATTATTTCGTGACGCTGTCCTGAGAAACAGTGGTATCGTACCTGACAACCTTCTTGTCCTTGAGCTTCAGCTCGCCTTCTATCTCGAACGTCTGCTTGCGCCAGTCGTAAGTTTTCCATATGTGGGACAAGAATTCGGCGGCGATGTCCTCCATGCTTAGTTCTATCCCAAGGCAGTGTCGTCAGCCTCTGTCGATAGGGCGAGCGAGGTGGACATCGTTTAGCAGGAGAGATCGTTCCTTCGAGCATCGCGTGACTGAGCGCGATATAGACGACGCTTTTATCCCTTCACAGCGCAGCAAGGGGGAACGGGAGGGGCGGGGTCCTGATTGTAAAGTGAGATCCTCTTGCCCTAGCGTTCGTAGGTAGCGAGCGAAAGGAGCACGGGCTGGTTACCGGGCCACTGGAGCCCGCCGCGTAAGTTCATTTGCATTACATTTGTTGAATTGCGCACCTTGAGCGACCTCGAGCACAAGGTTGAGGGTCATCATTTCATTTATGGACATGTGACATCTAGAGATTATTCTGTCGCTTTGTATAGGCCCTTAGGCAATAGCCGGTCGGCGATGAGTATGTCTGCGCACCTGATAGCTCCGTGATATTTCGTACGAGTGGCCACTCCCTCCCGATTTGTATCCCTAGACGAAAGCTGCGATGGATTTGGGCGGGTGTTAGACCTGGCGAATCGCTCTACGCCATCTTCACAGAAAGGATACTCGGTCTATGACGGCAATCCTTCGTGTAGCTCACATGGTCGTGCTAGCGATTGAAGGAAGGAGAGGGGCAACCCAGACTAAGGAGAGGGTATGTTGCAAACTGTGACGTCCAGGAGATAGGCTGTGTGAGAGTATATGGTGGAAGACGGAAATCGAGTCACGGTGGATGCAAGCTCAGTCTGTCCAAACCGGAAGCGCCGACAATACCTTGGCGCCACAAAGCGTTGACGACCCCCGGCACTTGCGCCCGCCGCGTCCTCCTCTCGTCTATGACAGGCTTGCCCACTAGCCACGGCTCGTATAATATCGTATCTGCTGATCTCACGATTGTTTCAGCTTTATCCCACGCCGGCCTTTGCACCTAGCGCGGTATCTTGCTGGTTCCCTTGCCGCCTTCGAATTGCGCACCTTTTCGGAGCGCTCGCGTGCCCTCAGATTCATCCTCTGCTTCCTCTACGCTATCTCATATCCTATTGAGACAGCCCTTCGAGGTGCTCGCCGTATGTGACCACGAGCAGCTGCGATAATTCACCGAGAATAGGCGTGCGCACATATCCGCGAGCGCGAGGCAGAGGAAGAGCGCAGGCCGTTAGTTCGAAGGACGTTATAGGACTTGGACCCAAGTGCGCATACATATTCTCTCTCAGACGACTGTTCGCTGGCGGCTCACAGTGTACTGGCATCTAGGTGCGTACTTCCATGTACTTCACGACGCACCAGAATTCCTTGAGGGCGCATGCGGCGAGCTCATACGTACTCCCAAATCATGTCTACAGATATATAGCGTGCCACAAAGCCGAGTTATAGGGCGCCTTGTACAGGTACAAGTCACTGCGTGTCGCGGCCTAGGTGGCCAACGAGATCTCCAGAGGCGTTTTGTCTCCTAGACCACGATGCTTGTCGGCGGAGTGATTGGAAAAGCGAAGCACAGGCGCGACAGGTAGAGCACTATTAGCAAGACAAAGAGAGGGAACATCAGCTACGTTGGATGTCGATTTCGACCCTGCCCCGGAAGACATACGAACAGCGCAAGAAGCTGTACGCTAAGAGCTAGTTGGAGCTGTGGATGGAGGCACCCTTGCGACACCGGGTACTACATCCCCGCTTCGAAGAGCAAGATCACAGCGTGGTGTTAGGGCAGCTATCCTCCGGGATCCAGGCCAGCGCATCGTGGTAAAGCGTGTCGGAAGTTGTTCAACCCCCGAAATAAGCCTCGCATCCTACTCAGACAATTGGGGTTGGCAGAATCTAGAGAAGACCTGTCGCGATAGGGCATGCTGAGAAAGTTCTTCGCGCTTCCGTCACTCGGTTGCAGTGACGACTAAGTCCTGGCCTCTTTCCTCCCGTAGCCTTGGAGAGGCGGTGATTAGACACCTGATGACACGTATGAGTCAGTCGATGTGGTCCAGATGCGGCTAAAACCTCCAAGAACAAAGATTGCGTGGAGACAAGATTGCGCAGGTGTTTATGACGCCCCGCTCTTTCGCTGTGAAGGACCGCAGGAGTTCTCTACGCCGAACGACACGTACTCCCTCAGTCCGCTCACATGCCCACTAGCAGTCTTTATCCCACCATTTCGTGCACCACGCCGTGCTCCGCCACACCATCGCTCCGAATTCACATCTGCGGTAAGCGAGGGTAAGCATGTCCTTTCTCGGCTCTAGTGTGAGCCGCGCTGATTGCGTCTAGGATCTGTTCAGGCCAGCATCCTGTCATGCTATCAGCAGCGTTTCGCGCGAGCCTCCGCGGCTCCCTACCAAACTAGGAGGTTCTCTGCAGCCAGGCCATCCACGGTCAGCTACGGAGTTTGATGGCCATCTGATAGCAGCTTTGGCGGCGAGCTGTATCCTTTCATACGCTGTGCCAACTCTGTCGTTACCAGCGTATCTATCTCCAAAATGCTGTGAACACGGTGACCCATATCAAAGCGTCCACCGCTAGATCTCACGTACACGATGGTTTTCGCCGCGGGGTGGGAGCTGCTATATATCGTCGCCGCCTACACAGCTAGGTGAGGCCCCTAAACACTAGGTTTCTCTTGATCTTACCTCTTGCTGTCGCGTTCAATGTCTAGCCCGCCGCAACAACAGCAGTTAATTCTCTTAGCAAACATCGCAGATGACGTTTCTGTGGCGCTATCTACCGTCTTGTATACCCTACCATATGCTGCGGTCGAGACCGCGCTTTTCGGTCAGCCGCTCGTCACACTCGATACATTACACGACATCTCACGCGCTCCCAGGCATATACTCCATATTAGCAATAACTGTGATATTTGACTTCGTGTGAGTACTGTACTAGTGCCCTCCGTCGTGTTCCGAAGCTCACATGTCATTCATTGCGCAGGCGCAAGCGAAAACAGCCTGGGTCTAAGAAATGGATCAGATGTCTGTGCATCCTGATGTATTTTTTGCAGCGGTTCACTTTGCGGTGAGCGTGTGGTGCATCTACGGGATGTACCTGTACGCGTGGAATCAGCAGATGGTGGTATCAACCTGCCTCGACAATACGACATCTAGCACACAGCTTTTCAGGTGTATCAATTCTCATATCATCGCCGAACCAGAGCTGGATCAGACAGGGTCAGGAATCCTTTACAGACTTGTCATTGCTAATGTACGTACCTTCGGCTTACCCCGGTCTGTTTACCGTCGGCACATGCCTTACTGCGAGTTCAGATAGTCATCAGTGATACAATTGTCGTCTGGAGGGCGTGGGCACTCTGGCCATGAAATCGCAGCGTTCAGGCAATATCAGGGCCGTTCCTTCTTGGCACCTTAGGTATGGTCGCACTTGGGTGAAGAAGGACCTGTCTCTTGCTTTCTGTGTTGGCAGTTTCACTAGTATACGGTACCATTATAAACATAGCGCTAGATTCCACCAGTGGCGTGTCCGGAATCATATTTTCATGGGCGACAAACCTATGGTCAACCGCGCTCATATCGCTGAAAGCGTGGTGCGTACATACCGGCGTTACTTCGAAGGACATAAGCTGACGAGGCGGGCGCGAGTGCGTAGGCAGCACCGTCGGCTGATGAGAGAACATATGAGCAGTGGAAGTCCACGCACGAGAGTGGAGAAGGTCCTCCCTCTTTTCGTCGAGTCCGGCCTAGTATATGCAATCATGTGGGTTGGTACGACTTTGTACATCACAACCCCCCCGGTGTTACTGAAGGTTTTTCCAGACATTCATGACGACGTCGAAGTCCGCTGCCTTGGCAATTTTTGTATTACCCAGCAGTGTTGGAGGCAGCACAGTACTCGTTGAATTTATCAACAATACCGTGATGTTTTACCTGATCCAGCTCGTTGTAAGCCTTTAGCCCAGTCCTATACGCCTTGTTCACGATCTCACAACCTTATTCCGCAGGGAATTTACCCTACGGCGACAGCATGCCTTGTCGAGCGCACGAACTCGTACCATGACTGCACGCTTATGCTGGAAAACGCCCATACTCGCCCGCTTCCACTGCCGGCAATGGGCGCATTATCAAGCGGTGTCGTTATGAGTCCCCTCTCTGAAGGAGACTATCCTGCGCCAGGTACTGGTCCTGAGGCAGAACCAGAGAAAGAGGCAGACGCTTCTGCGCTGGCTTCCGCGTCTCTCCCGAGCAACATCCGCTATATTGTAGCCCTTGATCATAGCGAGGACCGAGGCAACGACTGACACATACGCAGAGCGTTCTGCGCCGAAGGGTGACACCTGTACTACAAACTATTCATGTGTATCTCGGGTCTGTGCACCTTCCTACCGGCAGCTTCAGATAACCAGTAGCATACTAGTGTAGCGAATTCTCAAGTGCCGCTATCGTGTGAGGCTCAATTTGTAGAAATTCCGTTTCCGACGGATCTCGTTGTGATATATGAGATCGCGATACAAATTTCGGAGCCCAAGAGATACACAGAGATGAGAACACGGGTCACTGTCACCTTCTATAACTCTGCGTCAGTATGATGAACGGCGGCCCAACCTGAGTCCCGGGCCATCTTCTTTGGAAGAGTCGCCTAGATGTACATGAGAGGGGCTCTAGTCTACATTTCATCAGGAAACAGCGTCTTGCTGCGTAGCAGGGGCGTCTACTACCACCAGCCACCGCGTCTGCGCTTGCCGCTTAGTGCATGCGCAAGGCTCAGGAGAGCCTGGTAGCACTTAGCAGCTGCTCATATGCACCACCTAACTCTGGCTAATTTCTCGCGCCATAGACTAGATTTGTATGTAAAACATGTGCTTACAACATTAGTGAATGAAACTAAATAGTATACAAAATTTTGATCATGACACTTGAAGCGTGAAGTACTGTCCAAAGGTGGTATACTCTTCACTTGCTCAAGTACGGGAATGTCTGCCCTAAATTAACGGATGATGGCACGGCCGATGGTAACAAGCGCCCGAACATCCCTCGTTCCACGTCACCACCGCGCTGCGTCAGCCTATGTCGGCGGTGTCAGTCAACGGGCAACGCGTCGACGCCATACACGTCCTTGCGTAAGTTATGTTCTTCTGACATATACCATACCCTTCTCATGAGCAGTGAGGTCGCATTGTCACGCGCGGAGCAGGCGCACAAGCCCCAGAGTAGCGAAACAGCGTTTTGCGCGCAACCAAGAAGCCCATGAATGATACAACAAGCACGACAGGCCACAAGAGTTTAGGGTGCAATGACCGCGT